TGGGAAACCGCCACTCCTCTCAGAGGGACGTGGGGATGAAGGCTGCCAAGGTCAACTGTGTCCATAAAATCTTGGCAGCAGTATAATGTGACACTTAATCTCATTGACTGTCAGTGGCTAAAGGAGCTCAAATGAAGGCTGCAGCCTGTTAAAAAGAACCACTCCACTATCTGTGGTCTTAAAGGATTAGTTAACCCGAAAATCTAAATCTGTCATCGTTTACTCACCTTTATGTTATACAAATGACTTTCTTGCCAAGTCATACAGGTTTGCAACAGCATGAGGGTGAGCGTGGTGAAATTCTTCGCCCTCGTGTGAAATTTTCAATTGCGCGGATTCCTATTTAAATGAGCCGTTTTCGTCTGTCAAATTCCGTATGGTAAATGTGAACACACCTAAAGAGTTTGTCAAAGAAGATATATAAGACGAAATAAATAAGTGAGATGTATAACACTCAAGTAAAGCTCTGAGGTGTGGATCATATTTAATCAGCGGTTTATAAAAATGCTCTTCGTAACAGATCATTGAGCACAGCCTCTAATAATGGCAATTAAAATAGCTTAACTCAAAAACTAAGGCTACGTTCACACTGTCATTCCATATCCGATTATATGTCTATCCGATTGGAATCTGATCTAAAATTGACATCCACATTGTGTATCGCAACTGTTCAGATCTGATTTGTGTGTCCATGCCGCTCTTTGGGTTTTCCGGAATATCCGTATTGGATTGTATGGCAATGACCTAGCGTTGGCGCAGGTATACGCCAAAAACAACAACAACAACATCAACATGGAGGGGTTTGCATTTGCAATACAGATGTTGTCTTAATTATAACATGACAATGTGTATCGCTCCGCTGGACTACTGCGTCTTATCAGACAGCGGCAGAACTGTAGGAGGCTGGTACACGTCGTGGCTTTATTAAGTGCTGTTTTCTCTGGCGGCAAAACATGTCTCCGTTATATTGTCATTTTCTGCTCGTCCAGCAATTAATACTTTATAACCTTGTTATTCCTATAACAACATCTGACGTTTACATTTTACGTGCCGTTAGAAAGTCGCATAAACCACGCGAAATCCAATCAGAGCAGTCAGACTGAAATAGATTTCAAGAAATGCATTTATTTTCCAACAATGTCTTAAGTAGATTATGTTTTCAGTGACAGCATTTCATGTGGTAGAAAGCATGACAAAGAAGCTTTTGGGAGTGTGTAATTTCTGTGCCATTAGTGTCTCCAAACAGAATTGCAAAAATTATGTTTGTTTTCAAACAAGCTTTTTCCAACCCCATATACCATTGGTCAATCAGATAGTCCTGCCCCCAAACTCACACCATTGGCTGGGCTCATGTTGCTGTGCTGGTCGAGATGCTCAATCAGACAGAGCAATGTTTTAAAGGACCACAGAACCACAATACTTCCTCTTTTCAGGGGAAACAAACAATCTACAAATGGCTTATTTTAGTGCACTGCACATTACAGTAAAACCGGTCAAATTATTGTAACACTGAAAACATACACTTCATCTTAAAGTCGGCATGACATAAAAAAATAATCTATTTTCTAAATACATGTTATAGTTCTTATTGTGATCAATTCTTCCATGCATCCGTTTGACCTCGTAAATTAAAAATTTCATTAACAGATCTTGCTTTACAAATGACTGACTTCTCTCTGGTGCCGTATGCCTTCTCCAATCATTGCTTAAACTCTTTCTTACAATCGACTGAAAGCTCACATTCAGATCTGCCTCCATCTAATCCACAACCGATGCACAGAACCAAGTCCTTAACCGGCATTTGTTCTTTTTCAATAATCTATTTCACTATACATCCACAATAGGGAAGAAAAGATCTGTTGCTACTTCAGTTTTGGTCATTGTAAATAATTCATGCATTTTGATAGCAAATTGAGTGCATGAACGCAATGAATCTCCCTCTCCAACAGTTTACCTCTCTCACACACACAGATGAAGCCGTGTCACTGCCTGTGGCAGCTGCCAATGTTTCTAAAACAACACTGGTTGAGAGGCTGTAAACACTTTTAATCTTTTACTCAATATAGGCAGGTTACAATGTAAGCAGTGCTGTTAGAAGGGAAGCCAATGCAAAGGGGGCAAAATCTGCCATTGTTGTAAGACAGTTCATTGATGTGAACATAATACAGAACCAAACACGCCTAAATAAAACATTGGGTCACAATGCAAAGCTCAACAGGCCATGTGTACAAACACTCTGACATGAGTCACCTCGTTCCACCTTTACAGGTTTACAGTGTTATGGAGACGGGGGGGTTTATATGACAAATCATTCTGATGACAAATCAGGCTCTGGTCTAATGTCTGTTATATCCAAGGGAGCAAACATCTGCATAGAGTCAGACGAGTGCCATTCATGAGCGAAACTAAGCCGATGACAGATCACACACACCTGACAATACATTCGGGCTGCTATAGAGCAGATGTCACCTAAATGAGCTGATTCAAATTGGCACGAAGTCCTCCCTCACTCACGAAACATTAGCAATATCTGAAGTCACTTGTGCTGCACTGAAGATTGATGCGCACGGTTGACCTGCTCCTGCCCCAACAAAGGACGTCCTTTCGTCCGGGACTCGTCGTGGGACGCTATTAATTTAAATCATTTCACTCCCTTTCATCCTAGCTGGCCGTTTCCTCTTCGTCTGCTCTTCTCCTACGTCCCGAAGAGCCCCCCCCCCCACCAGTCGTCTCCAGTTTCAGTACTGAGAGTGGGCGCAGTGCGAGCCGTCAGATATCGGCTCATGCTGCAAAGGTCAGCAACACAGAGAGCCTGGATCTTTATCAGGACTCATTTACGATCACATAGAACAAAGAATCTGTCAAGCAGAAAAAGATCCAGGCCGCTAGACTCTCTGCATTTGAACCCCAGGGTCCACACTGCCAGCATCCACCCTAGTTTCACAATCACTTGACGTCATTCTGGTATAGTAGGCCAGCTCTGGAAAGAGGGATCCGGTGGGAATGGACACTGGCTTGCTGCTGCACATATGGTGAGAGGTAATGAGAATTATTTCTGCACATACCACTAACAATGCATTTTAGGGGCCTCATAGTCATACTACTAACAATGCATTTTGGGAACCTTATAGCAACATTGAAGAAAAATGTCCCATTGTAATTCCTATATAAAAAGCAACAATTTCATTGTTTTGCATCCCTCTAAGCACATATTCTACTGCTCCCACTGGATTCGACTGAAGCAACAGCAGTCTGTGCAGGAGAAATAAATCTCAAGTTTAATGCATTACCAGCAGCAAGAGCAGTAAAGCTTCCAAAATCTAAAGCAAAGAGATTGCTATTAGAATATTTCCTCTGTACCAATGCAATGATACACATTTCAGATCTGAGCTCTTCCAGTCTGCTATAGCCTCTACTGAAGTCATCAAAGATGCATATGAAAGATGATAGTACATTCTTATATGACAGTCATCTGCAATCTACTGTTAAAGTAGCATTAAAAGAGCCATAAAGACATGATTTTGGACCGTTGTGACCACTACACACTACTCCTCTTTGGGGGTCTGTATGTTTTGTTTTTTGTTTTATGTCTCTTTTGCTCACCAACGCTGCATTTATTTAATCAAAAATACAGAAAACTATAATATTGTGAAATAGTATTACAATTTAAAATAACTGTTTTATATTTTAATATATTTTTTAAAAGTAATTTATTCCTGTTATGGCAAATCTGAGCATTTTCAGCATCATTAATCCAGTCTTCAGCGTCACATGATCCTTCAGAAATCATTCTAATATGCTAATTTTGCTGCTCAATATTTTTTTTTTTATTATTATTAGAAATGTTGAAAATTATTAATATTTTTGTGGAAACCATAATACAATTTACCATAAAACAATTCAGGATTCTTTGATGAATAGAAAGTTCAAAACAACATTAATTTGAAACCGAAATGCTGTGTAACAATGTAAAAGTGATCGTTTTTATCAATTTAATAAATCCTTGCTGAATAAAAGTATTAGCCTAAAGTATTTTTTTGTTGTTGATGATGTAAATGTAATTTTTTACATTTACATATATACATTTTTACATTTGATCATGCATGCTATACATTTTTGTTGTTATGTGAACTGTTTTAGTGTTTACATGCTGAAAAACTATTTAATGGCAGGATTCATTGTTACAGCATACCTCATATAATGTTACAAATGACCTTTCATTTAAAGGAAACTTTCCGAAATAGAGCCTGAAAAATAAATATTCGCTGAAGTAAAAGTATACACAATCTCAGACAAGATGGACAAATATGTGTGAAAATAGGCCTCCACTGCATGGGCACCGAAACTGGCACTAAACCCACAGCTGTCACGGCAAAGGGTGGAGCCTGAAGTGTGTGTGTGTGTGTGTGTGTGTGTGTAGGGGAGGTCCAATTTGGCAACAGCTCATCTGTGTGCAGTATGTGTTACTGCAGAACACACTCCACCAGGTACAATGGGGGGGGGGGGGACACCAATAACAGCAGAAACGAGACCAAACAGGCTTATAGCGAAGGTTTAACATCTCAACCAGCCTCAAGATCCGTAAAAACAGCAGATGTAGGCTATTCCGATAGATGGAGATGCACCCCATCCTCTATTTGACAGACTGATTAACCTCGCCTCGTTATTCCAGATTCTTTATTCTAGTGCAAAAACTGACAAATCAGCTAAATGTAGGCTACCATTAATCGTTTCAGTATTTTAATATCGAATACAATGGGGGTTTTTTTACACAGGGAGCAGCCCTGATATTCAGACATGAAGGCACTGCACAGCTGTCTGAATTTCAGGGCTGTTCCCTGGATTTTCCTCTGTGTATCACTAGATAGCCTACTAATGAGCAAATAATACACAGCCAATGTGAAATACACAAGCCAATGCTCGTGCTCGGTTCATTAATGTCTTTGTTTCAAAAAGAGGTCGCATGCAGCAGCGAGTATAAATAAAGAGTAAGCGCTTACTGTCGCAAAGCAGCCGACGGTTCTGCGGCTTCTGTCTTGTCCGAAGGAAACGGTAACAATGGAAAAAAGCCGCTGATGTGTTGCGCAAATCCACCGACAGAATCCCAGGTCCTGCACTTAAATCGGGGTTTCGCTGCCCGTGCCGACCGCTTATATTTGAGGATGAGGATGGTGATGATGATGAGGATGAGACGAGCGAGCCTCCCGTTTCTCTCCCGCTTCCATTCCCGTTCTGAGCTGCGGACCGATGCGCGTTCCTGGCGTCTCCGTTTCCTGTCCAGCCCCGAAATCCATGTGATTGCGCCCTACCCGTTGTGACGTCATGCAAGGCATGGAAATACGACTCACTGGAGTTTTGACACAATGGCTTTCCCATTAAAAAAATGCAGCATATATGTAGGCTACCCTGTACGAAATGTGCATTGACATGCATTAGGCCCCATTTTCTATGGGCTATAGGAAATTTTCGGAGCGCAATATATTATTTATCTCGCATAGGCTATATGTCTTGGCGTCCCTGACCCTGACGATTAACATATTACAAGCAAAACACTAAAGTTGGTAACACTTTACAATAAGGTTTCATTTAGTTAACATTAGTTAAATATGCCTACATTAACGTTACATGAACTAATAATGAACTGCACTTCTACAAAGCAAGGCAAGTTTATTTACATAGCACATTTCGTACACTAGCCTATGGCAATTCAAAGTGCTTTACAGAAAGGAATTAAAATAATCACAAAATAAAAGCAAGGAAAATTAAAACAGTTATTAAAGAAATTAAAAAAGATGATACAGTTACAAAATCAATTAAAAGAGTAGGCTAAAAAGTAAAAGAGTATAACATAAATGTTAATAAATGTATTAATCTTTGTTAATGTAAATTTCAATATTTAGGCTAATACATTATTAAAATCAAAAGTTCAAAGCTCAAATTTGTTAACAGTTAATGCACTGTATTTGTATTTACTAACGTTAACAAAGATTAACAAATACAGTAACAAATGCTTGCTAATGGTTAGTTTATGTTAGTAAATACATTAACTAATGTAAACAAATGAAACCTTATTGTAAAGTGTAATCGTAAAGTTTTTAATATATGTTTGTAATATTTAAATTTATAGTTGAGTGGTAAATAATACAACTAGGCATATTTGAAATTAAATAACCTAGTGAAATTAATAACAGTGCTATTGTTGCTTAAAAAGGAATAGCCTATGTATCGTTCAAAAATTTTCTGTCAGCAATTTTTTTGGTATAACACTTTAGTTTGGGTCCAGTTCTTCTCACTATTATCTAGTTGCTTATTAGCATGCATATTACTAGGATATTGGCTGTTTATTATAACTCATAAAAGTTTATTGAGGCAACGGTCATTAATAGTTAGTTAACAGTGAGAATTGGACCCTAATCTAAAGTGTGACCAATTAAAAAAATAAATAATAATACTTCTATTCAACAAGGACGCATTTAAATTATTAAATGTAACAGTAAAGAAATTTAGAATGTTACAAAAGATTTCTATATCAAATCATTTTTTAACTCTTTTTGATTAAGAAAATGATTCTTAAGCACCAAATCATCATATTATAATGATTTCTGAAGGAAAATCAGCTTTGCTATAGCCGAAATAAATGGCATTTTAAAATACAGACCTGTTAAAAAAAAAGTTATTTTACATTTTAATAGTATTTCAAAACATTCGTTTTTACTGTATTTTTGATCAAATAAATGCAGCCTTTGTGAGAATAAGAAACTACTTTCAAAAACATTTAAAAGTCTTACTGACCTCAAACTTTTGAATGCATATCTTTGTGACACCCTAATTAACTTAATGCCTTAGTTTGTAGGTGATGCCACAGGTGGGACGTATAGATAACGATGGGAGTTCAAAGGGGTAAGAAATAAGATGAGTATGAAGACAAGACGGCCTGCAGGCTAACCACATCACACAAGTGTGACTCATCAACCTTATGTGAAACTGAGACCACTACAATCTCAGCATGACCATATTCCTGTGGTCTACATTACCGTCTCGATTCTTAGAGAAGATGTACAGTATGTGCTCTGCATTCAGTAAAGGAACAGAGCGAAAATGTTCCAAATAGTAAAAGAACCTAAATTATTTTTTTTTTAAATATATATAAAGCGTGCTATAGAAAGTGAATTTCACAGCCTCGTAAATTTTAACCAAGCAATACAGTAGGTGCTGAAGACACAGTGTGTATTCTGCCAGTTACATCTGTTACTGCAAGTGATTTTCAAATCTGGTGTAAAGGGTTAGTCCTCCCAAAAATGAAAATGATCCCATAATTTACTTACTCTCAAGCCATCCTAGGTGTTTATGACTTTCTTCTTTCAGCCAAACACAATCAGAATGATATTTAAAAATATCCTGGTTCTTCCAAACTTTATATGGGAGTGAATAGTAACTGAGATTTTGATGCCCAAAAAAGTGCATCCATCCATCATAAAAGTAGGGGTGGGAATCTCTAGGCACCTCACGATTCGATTCAAATGACTCAGATGAATGATTCAGAGGGCTGCGATTCGATGCTAAATCGATTATCAGGATCTTTTTTTTGTGTGTGTGTGACTATAAATACTTTGCTTTAAAAGTAGAAAGTAATGACCCATAAAGAATTAACGTACAATATATTTGATTAACATTGCAAAGAACCAACAGGAAAATACATGTGTGTCTGAACTAGCAGGAGCATATTTGTAGTAAATTAATAATATAACAACGACCGGTAACGTTACAGCCGAGTGTTTTTCCTCCTCTGGCTGGAAACGTGTCATATGGCTTCTCATATGTGTCTTGTTTCCGAAATATTTTACTTTTACTCTACAAAGCTTACAACTAGTGTGGCTCTTGTCCAGCTCCTTTCCCCCTTTAACGTCAGAAGCCAAAATATTTCCACACGTCAGCTTTTAACGAGGAGGGTGTTTGGATTTGGCGCTCAGCCATCGCGTCCGCGTCTGTTACGTGCACGCCACAGACGGTCCGGCCACTGCACTTCCGCGCTTCAGAGTTCCGTCTTTCGCGTTCCGTCAATATTACGTTATTATAAATATATATCTAAAAATTTTTTTTTTTTTTTGAAAATCGATTTTTGACAATTGTGAATCGATTCAGAATCGTCCACGTCCGCATCGCGATGCATCTAAGAATCGATTTTTTCCCCCACCCCTACATAAAAGTAATCCATATTCATAATTTCATGAACTATAATCACTGGCTTTGCAGTAATGGCCGTACACGAGTCTAGTTCCGGCGGCAGAGTGACCTCTGACCCGACGCATGGTGTATTGACGAATGCGGAAGAGCAGAGGATAGAGCAAAACAAAACACCGGTCAAGAATGAGAAGTCAAAAATGAGAATTTTTAAAGAAAAATGTGGGTTTGTTGCCCAGCCCTATTTGTTTAAACCGCAAGAGTTTATTCTTATCTAAGCTTATACTCCATGCCTTCATACTTCATGCCTACTTCCTAAGTCATGCGTCGGGTCAGAGGTCACTCCGTTACCGGAAGCAGTGATTATAGTTTATAAATGTATAAATATACATTTATATAAATGTATAAATATGGATAATTTTCATACACAAATGCACCGCTTTGCTTCAGAAGGCCTTTATTAACCCCTTGAGCTGTATGGATTACTTTTATGATGGATGGGTACACTTTTTTGGGCTATTTTAGTTACTATTCTATCCCATTATAAAGCTTGGAAGAGCCAGGATTTTTTTTTTATATATATATATATATATATACTGTGCTATATGAACAAAGAAAGTCCAACCCGATCTCACGGCAATTCATACGAATTTTACGAGGTGCCTAATTCGTACGGATGACCTACCCTGGATCCCGCCCCTAAACCTACCCATCATTAGGGTTTAGACAAATCGTACGAGTGAGGTCGTACGAATTAGCCACCTTTTACTCACTTGTACGAATTGGTCGTGACCATAGACAGTATAAGAAGTGGACAGAGCCATCTCATTGGAACTCAGTTGAGACAGGTGAAGCCCATTTTTAGCGATTTCTGAGCACTTCCGTTCCTGACGCGCAGACTCAAACCGACTCAAACTAAGCTTGATGACGTGAGCAACCTGTCTGACAGACGTTAATCTTCTAGTAGCTGTGCGTGAAAATTGCCAACGTTAATCTTGCAGAGACGGGGAACTTGAGCAAAGAGTTCTTTGGCGTGAGTGAGCAGGAGTAAGTATTCCGTTGCTTTTATGGACTCATTATCTATGGGCTTCTCCCTTGACGGGACGTCCCCCCGATTGCCTGCGAGCTTCTCCTCCTGTCTGTACGGTAACTTCTGTACAGCGCGACAGAGAGTCGAGTGGTTATGACGCAATCGTTAGCCTATTTTTACTAAAACTGTTTCTACGGGGCCATAATGTAACATAGAAGGTAATGGAGCACTTTATACATTGTCGTGTTTCTTTAGAAATAAATAATGGACAAATGGAGTCTTTAAACGCCTCAGATGTAAAGTTATTCGCTGTCAAAGTGACGCCAAAATGAATGGGAGTCAATGGGAATGCTAACGCAAGTGAAGTTCTGCTACAACATGGCGGCACCCGGCCGGCTTCAACTTCCGGTCGATGGATTACCCCCTTGGTCGTGACATAGCGCTGTCATACACCTGCTAGGATGGCTTGAGGGTGACTAAATTATGCGATCATTTAAATTTTTTGAAAGACAAAAATTTCTATTGTTGATAATCAAAGCATGATTTTCCTAAGAAATACTGATTTGGTTAAACAGTTAGTAATTATTTATTTTATTTGGATATTACAAACATTACTGATCAGATTTTTTTTTACATTATTTTAATCAGCTTATAGAGAATCAACACTGCATTCAGAGGTAGAGAAACGTTTGCTTGCTCGTAAATGCAGTCAACAGTAGCAGAATGTTGCAAAATGCTGATGGTAAAATGTACTTGTAACCACAAATGTAAAATGTAACCACAACACTGCAGGCGACACCTCTTCTTTCCTTTTGTTATCGTTCACTTCCTCTGAAATGCTGCACTGCAGACATTGGATTTGTGTGTGAAAGGTGTCACTTGCAGAAGAGTGCCGAGAAGTTTCAATGCAAAAAAGTGAAGAAAAAAAATGAACAAATCTCATTATGTAAAAATCCGCAATCGTTTAAATGACTCACTTCATGAATAACCATTTCATCGTTTAAAGACCCTACACATGAAGGTTGGAAAATATCTATTCTGAGTTTATTGTATCAGTTAGTTTTCTTCTTTATCTCCAGCAAGTCTATGGCAGCCCATAGAACCGTTTGTGGGAAAAAGATGAAATTTGGCACATAGATGGAGGACAGTCGAAACATTAACCACTGCAATTTTGAACTAACTCAACTCAAGCACCACCAACTGTCCAAATTTCCACTCATGTTTATAATAACTTTTCCTCTGATTCTTGGCTTGAGACGATTCGAATGCATTTTCTGTCATGAAGATGTTCCTGCCATTTTGAATTGTTTGAAAAAACTATTTTTCAAACTGCTCCTTAACAGTTTTCACCAGAATTGGCTCAGATAATCTTAAGACCGTGCTGGCAAAACGTTATTAAAAGATTTTTGATAGACAAAACCTTTCTTGTATGGCGCATAAACAAATTTGTGGAGGCCGGGGTACGCCAGAATAGACATGAGGCGCTATCTCCCCAACGCTTTAGTGTATTCAGACTAAACTTAGTACATGTCATCAGAAGCATGACCTGAAGCTACTTGTAGCGTTTTGGCACAGTACCACCTAGTGGTCAGGAGATATGAAACATGGCTATTTTTGCTGATAACTTTTGAACAGTTTGGAGTGTCTTTTGATTCGGTGCAACGTACGTACCAGTCGAATGGTACCCAATTTTTCCATGTCGACCATTTTCCAATTGTCAGCCATTTTGTTGTTAAATGCTATATTTTATTAAAGCACAAGCATATCGTTACGAAACTTGGTATGTGACCACGACTTGAAGGTAGCTACTCAAAACGTTTAGAGACAGCAGTCAAAATGTATAATGAAATTAAAAAAAAAAAAAATGCTAATAGCTTTATAATAACTTTACCTATTTTAATGAAACTGGTCATGATAGATTCCTCGAGTCATACCGAGAACAATGATATCAATTATGACATAGTCTGTCACATTTGCTGTCCGCCATTTTGAATTTTCTTTAAAAACCTACTTTTTCGAACTCCTCCTAGTCCTAGACTGTTGATCTGATTTTCACCAAATTCCAATCAGATCATCTTCAGACCATGCCGGCAAAAAGTTATTAGACGTTTTTTGATTGACCAAACTGTTCTTGAATATTGTTAAAATATGAAGCCAAACTCATTCTGCGGCTGTAACTCTGCTATATTTTTGCATATTGATACAAAACTTAGTGTGTCACTGTCACCTCACACTGACCACACCAAATCAATTTGGTGACAGCGCCACCTATTGGTCAAAATTTATGAGCAATTAAATCACATTACAAAAAATTGTATCTATGATTTTTCAACTATTTCAACTAAAATCAAGTAAAAATGTCAAATTGCATTTGGTCTGATGCTCCCAGGCATGCTTGCAGAACTATGTCCCGCAGCTGTTTTTTCTTTGTTTCTTCTTTTATGCAGAAATATAAAGTGAAATATGATTCAAATCATGGAAGCATTGCCAATATTCACCTTATACTCACTGTTTTTATTACATTAAGAACGAAAGAAGGTAACCATAAGTGAACTTAATTTTTCAGAAAAAAAATTGCCTGTACAAAATGAATGCAAAGATCAGCCATTTAAGAAGCCTGTCAAATGTTTGGCTGCTTTCCTCAGTCCTCTATAGTGTTGAATTGTGACGCAAGTAGGACAGCCCCCACCCCCTCAGCCCGTCTGACTCGTGCATCTGTCTGTAAAAGTTCTGAAGTCATATTTCCCTGTTCTCACGTGCTTGGAGCAGCAGTGCAGAAATGCTTGAGCAGTGGATCATTGCAATGGCTATCCTCCTTATCCTCTTCCATCCTGAACTTACTGAATCCTCCTCAAACTACTGTCTCGACAAAGGTTTGAGAATTTCTGTTGCTTCTTAATTCAGTTGTGCAAGTTGATTTACGTGGTGTGCCGAATGTGTCCTTGTGGATATTCATAACTGAGTGAACTGAGCATCTCCAGAATATGAATCAAAACGAGAGGTTTTATAATATATAGTGCAATTAATATTACAAAATAAAACTTTGCATTAAAGAAACAAATCAACAGTGGAGGAACCCGCCGACTCCACTCCCTGCGTGCACTGCACCACATCCTCAATCTCCGTCTTTCAAAAATAAAATGTGCATGTGCTTTTACCTTTCAGGCAGTACAAGACAAATAAAAAGAGTGGATGAAAATGCAACAGCATTTGTGTCCTGCCCTGAGCTTGCAGAGGATGAAAAACACATATCCATCAGTCTACACAAGGGACATAGAAAACTGCACTCAACAGATATGAGAAACAACACTCATCAATCAGGGCAGCAGTTTCAGGTGTCCAAACAAAACTCCTCTGTCTCATATAAGATTTTAAGGACTGAAGCCAATGACACAGGACTCTACAGCTGCGAAATCCACAGTGACACCATACGCATGTCTGTAACATCCCAGACTATTCTGCTTATTAAAGGTAAAACAAGATGCAATGCAATCATTTTAATTGACATTTATGCTTTGATTAGTGACAAAACTCAGCTGTCATTCACGTCCCCTGCTTAAACCAACCTAATATGATCTGCTGGTTTCCCACCCTGGTCAGATCTTAAACCAGCTAAGACCAGCATTGCAGTCTTTTCACTTGATTTCTTAATGCATTGCAGATTATGGCATAAGATACTGAAATATTATACTGAAACAATACTTTTACAGTAGAAAGTGTAAAGTACATAAATATATTTGGTTAATTCAACATTATTTATATGATTTCAGATGCTCAGCAGCCCACAGAACTATCTTGTCCCACTGAGCATATGCCACTGCTACTTTCTATTGGCTATGGGATAATTATTTCTTACAACCTGTTCATCACAGTCTTCAGCTGTTACTTCGCAGTGAGTATCTATGCCATTCTGCAACCACACGCTTACCTGCATATGCAGTTCTTTGCAGCAAGTACATGTCCTATATAAATCCATAACCAATGCTAAAGAGTTCATATTTGGAATCTCACAAAATCAAGATTTAAAAATTGCTCTATGTAATTGCTGAAATGCTGTTTTTATTTCAGCGTAAACTGAAGCACACCGAGCCACCTGAGAACCCCTACATCAACACAAGACCGGGAGGATTCAGACGACGCTGATGAGCTCAGCATCCAGCAAATATCAGCAATGTAGCACTAGCAATATGACATCTTCCATTGACTTTTACATTTGTACCTCCAGTCAGCTAAGCAGAACTGCCAGTCAAACAAGACAGAGTGTATTAAACAGATCTTGTTCTTGTATCTATTGCTGTATGTTCATATATGTATATATATTTACTCTGGAACACTATGATGCCCTGACTTTAATGGAAACCTGTGTTTCATTGTATTGTTGCAAACATCTTTCATTCTGGCATTTCTTCAATGTGACTTGAATTTGAATTCATCTAAAGAAGCAATACAATCAAGATCTTTTGCACAAGACAATAAATGAATTTTGTGTTGTGTTTGCAACTGCATTACAAATATAGAACATCCCACTTTATTTTTAGTGTCCGTTTTATTTTTAGTGTCTTTATCTGTAATTACACTATTGCACTTACTATTAGAAATATGCAAACCTGCACTAGTGTCAATAGCAACATGTAATATTATATCAGTATAATTTGTAAGTGACAGCAGAGACAGGAAATGACAGGAAAAAAGAGTAGGGTGGTGGGTGGCGGTAACCATTGTTCTGCGAAATGTCTTGTGAGATTCACATGCAGGATCTGTACCTTGTGTTTATGTTAATGATAACAATAACCTTTGTGGCCAAAGCCAATCTTAGTTTCACAGAACAGCATGCACAGTATGTGCACAATGAATGCATTATATCAAATGCTTTCAATTGTAATGTAAGAACAAAGTAGGTAAAACCCCTTAAAAGTGTGAAACTTTGATACAATAATCAAATTCAGATTAAACGAAATGATATTTGACCATCCTTTCATTTTGTGTCTTTAAGAACACCGCTCCCAAGAGACATTATAAATTGAATGTATTACATCAAATGCTTTAAATTGTAATGCACATAGTACGTAAAACACCCCAAAATTTTGACCCAACAGAAAAATGAAACTTTGATACAATAATAACATTTTTATTAAACTAAATAATATTTCATCCTTCCATTTTATGTCTTTAATGAAAAGCGCTCCCAATTAAGAGACATAAGTTTCCAACACTCCTTGTAATCTGAAATGATGCAATAATGAGCAAGTGATCAGCAAATTCAGTATTCTGACCAGTTTATCTAACTAATTTCGAAAGTGCCGATTCTGCTTTCAAGTGTAACTGATTTTAATATTTTCCACAAATTCAGTCAAATAATCTCTTGACCACTTGGCTTTATGATAGGCTGAGAGTCAAACCACAGCCTTAACCAAATTTTCCATTTCCACTGCTATTGTACTGTTTTTGCTCAAGTCTCATTCTGCTCGTTGAATTTTTTTTTCCCCTTGATTACACATATTGTGCAAATTGGCTACATTACTTGCAAAATTTTGAGCACTTTACGGGCATTTGCAGTCAGCTTGAGGTTTCCTGCCACGTTACTGATGTCACGAAGCTTTCCAGAACTCACTCAAGTATAAAGAGACAGGGGGGATACCTCCACAGTTATTATAACATGCCACAATGATTATCACACTTATTATAACCGTTATAATATATATCCCGCTGGGATTCGGTAAGTACATGCTGGGCTTCAAATGTTTGTTGTTGTGTCTTTGCTTTTCAGGCACAGATAGTCTACTCTAGATAGTAACAGCTTTACCCCTGTGGGCAGTGTGGCAAGACAGCTTGAATAGTAATAGTAGCTACATTTTATTAATACTTTTTAATAATAATCTTTTTTAATTAGGATCTTATCTACTATCTTTAAAATGTTGCTATTAGCAAAATTGAAGTGAAGTGGGTCAAACTTTGGCCTATATTTACAACTTCCAACATGATCCGGATCCTCATGTTCAGCAAGAATTCCTGTTGGAATATAATTCAGTTAATTCAGATAAAAATCTTAATTAAGATGAAAACTCTAGACTGATCTGTACTTAAAAAATGTAATGTTATTAAGTCACAATAATCACCTAAACGAGAAAAAAAAACTAAAATAGTAGCCTAAGTATATCTAGTGAGAATTCAGGCAATATCTGAGGTTTCATTCATCTTTTGTTTTGTTTCCAGCTCTACGCGTGTCTCAGCCTTATCGTGTGGAAGGAAAAGAGGGAGAAGTCCAACTCCACTGCTCCTTTCGTATAAAGTTATGGCCAGAGGAAATGCAGATATCTCTGTATAAAGGTTTACACGGCCAAGAGAAGATCTGCAGCCGTTTTGTCAACGTCTCTGAGCCCTACTTTACAACAGATGGCACAGTTAACTGCAGAGGGAATATTAGCTCTGGAAGAGTGGATATGATCATCACTGGACTCCGAGGGGAAGACACAGACCTCTATCGCTGTGAGATCGAGATTCTCTTTCCACCTCCATATCTCAGAGGGGTTGGGAACGGCACTGTTGTTTACATACAAGGTTAGTGATAGTCTTGTTTTCAGTCTCTTGCATGTGGTTTTCCCAAGGTTTCACCTTTTTTTTGTACACAGTTGTTGATGTAGAGGTCTGCGTCTGTAACAATGAATCATTTTGAATTTTTCTATTAATATTACTAATAGCAATTATTGACGTTGCATTGACAAACAATACTTTTTAGAAGCCATTTAAGTGTTATATTTTTTTTTTAATCCCAATATGTTTCCAACATGCATTTTAATAGCAAAAATGTATATAATGTTCACAGACCCTTAGCCATTGTTCATTGTTAAAGCTCTAGAGGGAGCCAGAGAGTAGGCTGTAAAAGCGTGAAGAAGGAAATGTCGCGGTTACCTGAAGACAGATGGGTGGAAATGGGGCCTCCCCGCACATTCAAATTTACAGCGCTATGTGCGCCACATTTTGATACACCCATGGAAACTTTGACTTTACGTGTGAATGATGTTTTTCTTTGAAAATGTAGATTTCTTTATGACGAAAGAGTGCTAACGTAAGCTCCTAAAGACTAAAGGGACTGAAAAAAACAATCACCAAAGATGAGAAGGTAGCAGTTATATGCCACTGGCTTCCTGTTTTCAAAAAGTACAAGGCCTCATAAAAATTCCAATCGTTGTATAAAAGATTTAAATGAGAAAAATGATTCACATAGGCCTGCATACAGTAGGTTTTCAAGGCAATGAAAGGGGTATTGGATGGGGTAGGGTGCCATCCAGAGGGCAACTTCAGTAATCACTGATCTTCTTTTCTAGAAACCCCAAACTGTCCCACTGCATCCACCGTGAGCCAGAGTCAAAGCCAGAGGCAGTCATCCGAGTGGGAAGCTGTCAAAAAGGACGTGGGACCACTTCCACTCCTATATGCCATTCTAATCATCACTTCCTGCAGCTTTATTCTACAGGTGAGAAATATGTCTATTCTAATGATTTTCTTTAAAAGACTCCCCCTGCTGAAAAGATCAGCTTGGCAGATCACCAGCAACTAATATGCTGAGTTTTGGATAGATTTACTGTGAATAGATGTCACTAAGATGTCACTAATTTCTAACACAGATGGTCATCTGCAAATGGAGGGGTTCTTCATCAATGGCACCTATGCTTTCACAAAAAGAGAGCTATATGAAATTCTAGGGGGGGGGGGTTTCTCCCCGTTTGCATGTACTCACATGTAGTATTCTCACCTGCATGTACCTGCATGTCATTTTCTCCTGCATGTATTTACATGTAATATTTTCCTGCATGTATTGACATGTACTCACTGAGTTTTACAGTTGCATGTACTCACATGTATTCTCACCTGCATGTATTCACATGTATTTACATAACATTTGATCATTGTTCTTTTTTGTTTTGTTTTCTTTCAATATTATTCATTAAATAATAAATATATGTTTTAAAACTAAAATTATGTTTGATCAACTGCGTTTTTCAATGTTAAATAATGGGAATGAATAAAGAATCTTTTTTTTTAAAGTATTTCTATATGGTGTCATAATTTGTTTTCTAGAAGAATACTTGTGGTTATGACACTGTACACCTCATTGGTAAATGTGGCTATAAAAAAAAGTCCACACACGACTTTTAAATTTGATATTTACTCAAAAAGACTGGCTGCTGTATTAAAAGCAAAAGGTGCTTCAACCCAGTTTTTGTAGGGTGATGTGTACATTTGTGCAACCAGGTTATTGTAAGTCTTTTTTTTTTTTTATCTTGAATTTTTTTGGGTTTCAATATCACATCAGAGGTCAGGAAACCTTGGATACTTGGTAATAGTAATAAGTAATGCAACAAATGGTAATGGCTTTTTTATAAGTAAAAACAAGTTGAACATATGTCCGCCGTCAGTATCAGTCTTCTTTATTTTGTAAGTCGCCAAGGCATGAAGAAGAAAAATGTGACAAAGTCATCACAAATGTGTCTCAGTTCTGTGAACCTCAACTATCAATAACATAAACAGGACATGAGTACTTTATAACGTGCTGTGCTTTCAGATTTTATAGTGCTTCAACAGGATGTGGAACTGAAAATAGATTGATTTACAAAAAATATACGTCTAAATGGCAAACACCAATCACCACAACTAGGACATTAACATCCTTCATTTATATGACTTATTAGTAGTGAAGAAAATAAAACCAGTTGAAATCATCTAGGACAGTGTTACTCATTGCGCGGCTCACAAAAGCTTTAATTTGTGGCTCGCATGGGAGTTACTGATACGTTCATATGATCATGCAGTTAAATGTCATAAAACATTAAAAACAAGCAGGGCTATAACGTAACCCATTAAAAAACTCATCTGCTCTATTACAAATAATTTATAGATACTCAAAACAGCGGCATTACAAGATGAAAATATAGATATATCACTATACGATATTTAAACTTGCTATGCCCTTACGTCCATAAGACTTGACTCACTGCGGAGTTGCCCGTTTTGGCGGTCTTTCCAGCTCTTGGGCTACATGATGGGCTAATGTCGAAAAATAACTAAAAGCTACAATATGTCTTTTTTTTTTTTCACCGCCAGGGGTCGCTAACCTCTGAAAATAACAAAGGTGTAGGTTGATGACACACAATTCCAGCGGAATTATGGAACTTGTCGTCAAGCTGATGGATCTAATAATGTTTATGGATGAGTGAATACATTGATGTTTTTAACATGACTGTGGTATGAAGCAGGGCGCGATTGCTAATGAGAGACAGATATCAGCGCCACACACGAGAGTCCCGCGGGTATAAAGGAATAAGGACATTTTATTCTACCGAACTACCCGCAAGTGCAGAATTACTCACACATGTCAGTTTATTAGACGAATGAAATTTGTGAGGTAACGCAGCGCTGTTTCACTTGCTCTACACTATCACACTAAACTGCATTTGAGTGTGGTGAAAGTTATAATGTTATTCTATGTGTTAGTTTGTTGGCTGTATGAGACTAGCAGTAAGCTAGATAAACATTAGAATAACATACTGATCATATGATCAGTATGTTATTCTAATGTTTATCTAGCTTACTGCTAGTCTCATATTTGTTGTTATATAACATTGTTATATAATATTATAAATAATATTATAATTATATAATATTATTCTAACATTTCATCATGTTGAACTATATAACATTGATTAGTTTAATGTACATTTGCTCACCTGTCTAATAAAGTACATGCAAGAGCTCTGTCAAGTCAAAGTTTGTCACGGACATGGAGCTCTCGGCATCTCGAAAACGCCACGCTGAAATTTATCCTTTTAGTTCTCCTTTTGTCCCAAAGTTTGCTTGCCATGGTCCATAATGTTTGAACGAAACAACAACAACAGCGTGAGCGTGCCGTTGTTGTCCACGTAACGCTGTTGTCCACGTCTGTCGCCATGGTTACTATGGCAGTATGAGCGGAAACCAGGGATAACGCGGATATTACGTCATTGACAGGCGACAGGAGAACAGGGAGTCCGGGACGGCCCATAATTTAAAATTGGAATTTCTCTGAAATTAAAAATCTTTGGGAACTTTTGGGATATTGTAAGTACACAACTGCAGGAAATATATCACACTGTGCAAGTGATTTTTGGATATTTTATTACAAAAATCTTACATATTGTACCTTTAAGGTCATTAAAATATATATTATGCATACCCTCTATCTATCATAAGCATGCTTGTGAATATGGAATATATTTGGGCATTTAAAAAAAAAAAAAAACATGTTATGGTAAATTGGGGCGATTCAATTGGAGGAGACTCAACCTGGCACTTCATACACACATTATAACAACGCTAGTTATTTCCAGCATTTCATGCTAGTTAGCTTGTGTTATATACAGACTGAAAATGGATCGATTTCTTGTTAGACAGTCACATACACTTGTGAGTCAACATTCTCAACCATTAAGAGGAAAAAGAGAAACCGCCTCACCAATGAACATCTTGCATCCCTCACAAGGATTGCAACAACAAGCTACAAATACAACATGAATAAGGTCAAGGAAATGCATGCATGCTTCCGTTCAGCCCAACATTAAGGTAATCCTGCTTTTTTTGTTAAGGGAAATCATCGTGTCGCAGTTACAAATGTGACTGGTAAATAATAAAGAATAAAGAATAGCCTTCACAAACAATTAGCTGAACATTTGATCTTGACATGTGAACAATATAGAGTATACAGATCTATATAGCCCATTTCATATTCAACTAAAATGTCTAAGCATTTATTAAAATAAATAAAAAATCAAAGCATTTTAAAAGTAAGTGGATCAAGATTACTTTATTGCTCATTTAGTAGGATATGGGTTTTTCCTAACATGGTTGCGCATCAAACATTTTCCTTTCAACAACTTCATATTACAAGAAAGCTGCCCACTCATTTCCTCACTCACATAGCCTACGTGTTTCTTGTCTGGGACACCTTAAACAAGAAGTAAAAACTCAATCACACTTTTTAAATAATATCCCACAATATGATTCATTTCACAATAATGAATCTTCAATGTGTGTGTTAAATGTTGCCATCTTCCCTCATCACTTAATTAACTTATTGCACTACCACAACAAGTGACAAATATGTTTGTGGGTGACATTGATCACCTAACCCACATACTTCCTGTGTTTTCTCACTCCAGTAAAAACAAACTGAAGAGCCTCGGCCACCATCACACTGTCAAACTGAAGAGGAACGTTAACATGCCTGACAGGCTTACTTTGCTCGCTCTCAGCTTTTCTCTGATCCTTCACAATGGTAAGAGGCTAACCTTTCTCATTGCTGTTCTGTTTACATTCATACCAAACTTGCTGAAAGAAATACAAATAGTTTGGACCAGCTTAAATTCCAAAATGCTTGGTTATGGTACATGTATTACTTAGGCACTGTGCCAGCATTGCCCATTATTGTGGGTAAAGCACCACTAAAACCAGCATGAAAGTAGAAAATATACATTATGCTGGTATCCAGCAATAAGTTAGTTTTAACTGGCCATTTTTTGGTAATTTAAGCTTACCAAGCTTAATTCAACAGGTGTAACATGTATGTTCAGTTTGTTTCTATTTGCCTATGTTCTCTGCCATTAGTTCACTTGTTTGTTCCAATAGTTGCTGATTTCGTTCACCTGTTGTTTAATTGGTATTCTCATTCATTACTCCCCATGTATTTAAAGGGATAGTTCACCCAAAAAAATAAAAAATGTGTCATAATTTAGTCACCCTCAAGTTTTTTCAAACCTGTATGAATTTCATTCTTCTGCTGAACACAAAAGATGACATTTTGAAGAATATGGGAAAACAAGCAGTTGATGGAACCCATTGACTTCCATAGTATGGAAAAAAAAAAGTACTATGGAAGTCAATGGGCCCATCAACTGTTTGGTAACCTATATTTTTCAAAATATATTTTGTGTTCAGCAGAAGAATGAAATTCATTCAGGTTTGGAGCAACTTGAGGGTGAGTAAATGATGACAAAATGTTGATTTTTTTTTTGGGTGAACTATCCCTTTAAGCCCTTAGTTCTCTGTCCTGTATCGTTTATGGAAGAGTGTTGGGTAACACTTTACAATACGGGTGCACTAATATGCATTAATTCATGTTTAACTAATGCACAGATAATCATGAGTTAATGTATGATTCATGAAGAACTAAACCATTAATTAATGATTACTGCATCAGCAACTAATAAAGAGTCTATATGATTAATAGATTAAGTAATACATGAATTGCTATTAATTCAATGTGTCATTGTGTATTAATTCCTTAATAACATATTTTATTAACTAATGGTGTAAATTAATGTGTTAATTACCACAATTAGTCAAAGCTATGCACTTCAACTTCCAGTTGTCTGCTTTAATTAATCATTAGCTAATGATTTGCAAAGGTATCATTATGTTATGACTTTACTTGTTGAGGCACATCGTTATTAACTAGTAATTTAGTAATTGTAGTAATTTACACATGAATTTGCACTAACAATGAAGTAATTAATCATGTATTAATGCATATTAGTGTACCTGTATTATCTGGAAGTTGAAATACAAGGCTTTGGCTCATTCTGGTAATTAACATATTAATTAACACTATTAGTTAAAAAAATGAGTTATTAGGGAATTAATTCACAATTACATATTTAATTAATAACAATTCATGTATGAACTAATACATTAACCATACAGACTCTTAATTAGTTCCTAATGTGGTAATCATTAATGAATAGCTTAGATAATCATTAGTTACACGTTAATTCAGTATTATCTGTGCATTAGTTAAGCATGAATTAATGCTTATTAGTGCACCCGTATTGTAAAGTGTTACCGAGTGTTGTTACACTCCATGATTTCTTGTGTACTCATTCGTGTTTTCTTTTATAATAAAGTGTTTCTTTTGGATTCTCCGTCGTTGTGCGATTCATACAGCCACATTGTGTGACAACAGGAAAATATAGGGGTATTGAAATAAAATTTGCATTTACTCTTGTTTGGCAGTCAGGACTTTTTCATAACCAGATTTAGCCAATGTTCTGGTTTCTGGAGATCTGAATAGGACAGCTGTCGTTTGCCTGTTTTCATTTCGAATCATGTAAAGACCTTATTCTAAATATCCACCATAGCTGAATGTATTCATTTATACCAGCACATGTCCCAATGAAGCAAATTCTGGGTTATATTAGATTTGAAATTTGTGCAGGTTGTCACATTGTTGTGTGCAATTGAAATGACATGAATGAGAAATGAGCATTTTTAAGAAGAGAATAGCAGCAAAATAATGTGCATGTAAATTGGTTATGCGTGAATATTCCCAAAAGATGTGGAGCATGTAAATGTCATTTTCAGACAATATTGATTTTAATAGAAAAATGATGCACATAAGCGGTCAACGTCAAATAGTTTTCTCAAAGTAAAAAAATTAATATAAAATGTTTGAACTATGACTGAATGAATGAAATTTCTTATTTTTTTATTTCAGTTTCTTCTAGTTGGACTGTGAGTGAACCTCTCAACCAAACACTCAATGACGATGGCTCAGTCAGTGTCACATGCATGTTTTATGGAGATGAAAATTTTGGACTGGAAGCCAAGCTTAAAATGAATGATAAATTTGTTTGTGAGATTTACCAAAAGGGCCAAGAACATGACCAGTGTACATGGCAGCACAATAACAACACATTCACGTTCACCTTGAAGAATCCTGGGGCCCTACACAAAAATGAATTTTCCTGTCAGATAACCAAAATATCTCCATTACCAATCCAAAGTTTCAAAGGGCCGAAAACAAAGCTTTTCCGAGGTAAGTTCACCCTATTTGAACAACACAGTACAGTTATGTATATATACCCAGAAATTCTATATTTAACTGCATATAAAAATGTAGTTTAAATCTTGCATTTTTCACAAACAACCATTAAATAAATGATTTTTATTTTTAAGGTTACAATAACCCTCCACCAAAAAGCAGCTGTTCATGCTATAACAAAACGCATAACCAGGAACACACAGTTGAAGACAAGCCCTCACCCTCAGACATGTATACCCTTCTAATCGGTGGTCTGGTCATAGTGGTGGTGATGCTCTGTCTCTACAGCCTTATTCTCACCGCATTCTTCATAAGATTGAGGGTAAACTTACACACTTTTTATTTTGTTTGTACTTGTGTTGTTTTATTAGTGTCTTTACTACTGATTATCTTGTCTCAGTGTCTTTATACATATCTTGTTACATTCATTTATTTAATCTAGAAGGAGAGGCTGTGCTATATTGTGAATATAGTTCACACTATTTTTTAATTACCGTAATTTCGAGATGACAACACTTGACATTCTTGGCCATGTGGTACAAGTATGAGCTCTCAGAAAATTCCCAGCTTACAAGTTGTAATTACAATTACACAATTACAATTCTTGTAATTATGGTAATAATGACATGGTGTGAATGACCATATTCACAATACAGCAAACCCACAAGAGCCGGTAATACTTTACAATAAGGTTTTATTTGTTAACATTAGGTAATGTATTAAAGGGATAGATCACTTCGAACTACATTTTTGATATGTTTTAGCTTCCCTCAAGGGCATCCAAGATGTAGGTGTCTTTGTTTCCGCAGTAGTTTCAATTTTTATATTTTTAGGTCAAACCGTTCTTGTCTGTCAGTCATATAATGCTGGTCTATGGTCACCACCTCAAAGAGCATGCACAGAGAAGTCCAAATTAAACATGATTTAATGACTCGTCAATGTAAGTACACATTGATGGCCTAAGACACGAAACGAGCGGTTTGTGTGAGAAAACGAACAGTATTTTTATCGTTTTTACCTCTTGTAACGCACAGACCGAAGCGCTCGCGCCCTCAGATCACTTGGACGTGACTGTGATTACAAGAGGTAAAAACGATATAAATACTGTTCGTTTTCTCACACAAACCGCTCGTTTCGTGTCTTAGGCCATCAATGTGTACTTACATTGACGAGTCATTAAATCATGTTTAATTTGGACTTCTCTGTGCATGCTCTTTGAGGTGGTGACCATAGACCTGCATTATATGACTGACAGACAAGAACGGTTTGACCTGAAAATATCAAAATTTAAACTTCTGCGGAAACAGACACCTACATCTTGGATGCCCTTGAGGTAAGCTAAAACTGTTGGAGAATTCTACTGTCCTATGCATGTAACACAAAAATAAAGGTAGGCCTGTTAAAGAATATAAGGTGATGTAAAAGAGACCAGGTATTGGAAAATACCCAGAATCCTTGTATGTTTTCATGTATGGAAAAACAAGCTCAAAGGTTATGTAAAGGTACGAATGTAGAAGTACCTAAAAAACAAGTCCAAAGATCATGTCTGTTGAAATCCCCGAAAAACATGTATGTAAGCAATTTAAAAAAATATATATATGTGCTAAAGGTTGGCCACAGTTAAAGCTGAATCAGCAATATGAAAACATAATTGTGGCGAAATAGTAGGGAGGAGCAAAGAGGAAAAGATAACGGAAAGAGCACTAATTGGACACCTGAAGATAAGAAAATGTATAAGAACCGAGTACTGACCATTGTAAAATTCAGATGACTAGCTACCATCTCACTTTGTTGAACTGCTCAATAAAGTTGTTTTCTTCTGAGACCCGAAACCTCGACTCTGAAAGATTTCTTCTGAGAACCGGACCAGACTTTGAAAATTGAGACCAAGACCGAGAATCTGCCACAACAAAACATATCAAAAATTAATTTCAAAGTGAACTATTCCTTTAACTAACATGAACTAACCATGAGCAATACATTTGGGTTACACTTAATTTTAAAGTGTCTTTGTTACACTGTAATTGTACATTTAAGTAGTACTAAATAATATTAATTAACTACATGTACTTACTATAGGTTTAGGATTAGGGTTTGGTTTGGGGTTAGTTGCATGTAATTATGCATAACTTATAGTTATTACAATAGTAACTACAATGCATATAGTCAGTGGCGTAGGTTTGATTTTGAAATTGGCGGGGTACGCCCCTGCATATAGTAACATATGTAACAATGACACCCTAACCCTATAGTAGTACATGTAGTTGCTTAATATTACTCAGTACTTGAATATATAATTACACTGTAACAATGACACCTTAAAATAAAGTGTATAACCATAAAGGGTTACCTACGTTTGTTACTGTATTTGTTAATCTTTGTTAACGTTAGTAAATAAAAATCCAGCTGTTTATTGTTGTTCATGTTGCTTCACAGTGCATTGGCTATTAAAATCAAGTTGTATTTGTTAACATTAATGTAATACTAAATGTTGAAAATAACATTAACAAAGATTAAAAATGCCATAGAAGGGCAGCTCATTATTAGTTCATGTTAACTAATGAGATTTTATTGTAAAAGTGTTACCCAAGACTCCAAGAGCCTTACACTTTTAAAAATAAAGGTTCCTTATTGGCATCAATGGCTCCATAAAGAACCTTTAACATCCACGGAAGATTTCAATTCCAAAAAAGGTTCTTTATACACCTTATTTTTTACGTAAGAGTGGGTGCGGCCATTTGTAAATATAATGTTTCTGGCTTTTGGTATCATCCGATTGCTGTACAAAACAGCTTGTTATACTGATTGATAGCGCAAATGTGTTTATTACCATATTATTGTAATGTTATCACATAGGGCAATTAGTTTTACAATTTACTGCACTTTGTTATTCTTCTTGTCATTTAATATAGCGGCTATGAATCGGAAGTCTCACACATTCAAAGAAAACCCACAGTGCAAAATAAGGTGGACAATTGAAAAGGGTTCATTAGATTTTTTAAATGTTCTTCACACTAAGTTTTTTTTTTTTTTTTTTTTAGGGCATCACTGCAAAACCCCTTTAGAAATCTTTATTTTTAAGAGTGTACTGCGTTAAGAAAATTATTACTATTTAATTAAATTATTTAGGACACAAATTTAAGCTATATTATACTTTTTTTTTCTTAAAGAAATGGCATCCTTTCACAAGAACATTGTTCCTGTTTCGCATCTTCTGCCCTCTGTTGTTATACCTGCGTGTCCTGTGTTTTTGTTTTGTCCTTTGTGTGCAGGCATCACTTAAGATTTAATAAAGCTGTTTAAAAATGTGTATATTTTAAAAACCATTTTCAATTCTTTGAGATAAAAATGAATTAAATCCCATGCAATGCAAGACAGGTATAAAATATTTGTTATTCTAAGCTTAATACAATTGTGCTGTTTTTTGTCTTCCTCTCCAGGTTGCAAAGCCTGAGCCTTCTGACACTCTGACCTATGTGCCAATGCAGGTAAGGGCTTTCTTCTGCCATGCCAACACTGTTTGTGACTGTGTGCCAGTAATGCAATATGACTGTGCTATAGCCTACCTGTGGCTGTTTGGCGCAACAATACTTCAACTACAAATGATTTTACTATGTTTCAGAGGAATATAAAACGGCGTGATCCAGACGACACAGAATACGTGGACATGCGTGAAGTGCAGAAACGGGGAGGATCCCACAGAGATATGAACCACAACTCTCATATGATGACTGCCTGAACCCATTTCCAGTGAGCTCACGCTTTAACTGCTCTAGGACTCACCGCTGGATTGAACATAGTTAAGCTACACTAAAGAACATCGCAGGACAAAACGATTGCCTTTATACCCAACAAAACAGACTTTTCTAAACGGCTGAATCTGCATATTGCTGCTGCGCCCCATTCAACCGCTCCCATTACACTGTCTTGTTCTCTGTTGCATGGTTTCATCTGCTGGCTAGTAAAACCTCATGCTGAATTGTAGCTATGCCAAGCAAAAAGTATATGAAGTACTGTATAAAGTTTCTAGCTTGGGCATTTTTTTATTATTTTGATCCTATGGACCAATAATCACTGATATTATCAGTTTTGTTCAAGACAAGAAAATGCTGAATTTTTCTTTCTTTTCAAACTGATTTGAGGAGACCATTATTTTTAAATATATACAGAGATTATATTGAACGATGAATTCAATTTGATCATTATTTGGTGATGTAAATAAAGAAAATTGATGAGAGCTTATACTAAATGTGTTATGTGTACAGTATGTGCATTGATTAGCTACATCTATTTAGGAAGGAAATGACAGCTGTGCCAATATTAACACAATGTCATTCAAATTCTGTCAGGACCACTATCGTCAAATATGATTGACAATTAGCATACGGTTAGGATTGGCGGTATGGTTCTGTTCTGGGCGAGAACTCCCTGTGCATCCATGCAGCCTAGCATGGATAAGAGCAGCAATAAACCCCTTAGGGTAAACAGAATATCGCAGATATCATTCATTCAAGATTTTAAAGTACAACATCATTCGAGAATTTATTCTGATTCGAGGGGAATCAGAATGCCAAATCCTGACTGGACGAGAGGAGTAGCTGTGGATGGAGGAGGGAATTGGCTCCTGAGAAACGCGATAGCTGCTGATAATACTGAAGGAGCATATGATTGCTGTGATAGGCATTGTATTCCTATAGGTAGACATGAGAGTCAGCTGATGAGAGCTTGACTAACGTGACCTGCCAGAACTGACGCTATGTTTAATTTGTATTGTACTTGAAATAATTTGTGTTTACTCTTCAAATGACTAAATACAATTTGTTTCAAACTATAAAAAGAATAGTTCACCCAAAAAAGAAAATTTTGTCATCACTCACCCTCAAGTTGTTCCAAACCTGTATGAGTTTCGTTCTTCTGTTGAACACAAAAAAATATATTTTGAAGAATGTCGGTAATCAAACAGTTGACGGCACCCATTAAAGTCAATGGCTACCGTCAACTATCTGGTTACCAACAATATCTTCTTTTGTGTTTAACTCATACAAGTTTGGAACAACATGAGGGTGAGTAAATGATGACAACATTTTCCTTTTTGGGTGAACTATACCTTTAAAAGACAGAAATGTCTCTTACTGGAACTAACAACTACCCACAAATAGACGTATGCAAAGTCACAATATGAGCATGTCTAGTCATAACTCCTAAAAGTGAGAGAAAAACAGATAGCATGCCTCTGAACATACAGTATTTTATGTAACAACAGATAAAGACTGTATTGAGAATATTTCAAAATGAAGAATCTCTTGATGATGAACTAAATTTGGCAGTACCATCAAACGTTTGACACTCTGTGGAACAAACTCAGAGTTACCCGTAAAAAAGACAATAACAATTATGCCTACACTTTTGCATCTCACTCTGCATAATTTCCACATCATGCAGAAGCTATAACCTATGGACCAAGCAAGTTTGTTGACACAAATTAACAACATAATCCAACCTCAAACCACATCCACTCTCTTCATGTAAACACACATATCTTTCAATCTGCTCTTTCTATCCGTTTTTGAGGACTGAAGATGAAGGAAGATGAGGACTGAAGCAACAGGAAGTAATGCCGCGTTCCAGGCAACCTGTAACCCGTGTTTTTCCAACCTTATACCCGTGAAAGTGCACTGGAACGGCACTCAAACCCGTGACTTCCCACCCGTGAACTCGTACTAGATCGATGTACTCCCAGTTACGAGTTGAAAAAACACGGGTTACAGGTTGCCTGAAACGCGGCATAAGTGCGCAAGATTGTCCCAGTGTCACGTTTGTGTCTGTTTTGATCTTCTGTTTTCTTTCTTAGTCACATGTCTTTTGTTTTCCCGCCACTCATTTTGTTTCCATGCCAACCATCATTAATTCACCTTCATCACCTGTGTCCTGTTAATCACCTTCATCTGTATCACCTCACCTGGTTATGTTCATCAGTGACTACGATTACATGCAGCCAATTTTCGGGTTATGGTCGGGTTAAGGTCACTATTCGGGTTTCTGAAACATTAGGAATAACCCGTTTACATGCGTGAGCAGAGAGAGTTTCTCCTGTATACATGGAATTGCAATATCCCGATGTAAACGGCGACGCACGGTTAGCGTCAAGACGTACGGACAACCTTAAGACGCAATATGCGTCATTTCCGATTCTTCTTCCTGTATCCAAAGACAACAACAACAGCAGCAGCACGTGGATAATGAATAGTTCGGGGCAGATAGCGATCGCCTTTGTTTGCGCTTTGGTGCTGGTACTGACCTCGCTCCAAAAGTATGCTGTGCTAGCTGCGTCTCGCCATGTTTACTTCCGGTATACTGCACGCAGGTTTTTGTATGCGCCGAGAAGTTCCTCTACTCAAAAGACCAAGATTCCTTGCGAATAGAACATGCGCAGAACACAAATCACTATGGGGATATGCCGATGCGCGTTTACATGACCAAAATTCGGGTTAGAAAAGGGGTACCCCAGGTATCATATCCCGGTTTTTAAAATCCGGGATATGAGCATATTCGGGTTTTTGCCGGTGTTTACATGGCCGTGCGCGACCAGGTTATTGCTAATATCCCGGTTTTGAACGGGTTATTGGCTGCATGTAAACGTAGTCAGTGATCGGACAAACATTTTATGGTCCTACGCCTTCCACAGACGATATATATATATATATATATATACAGTATATAAACACATTTAGACTAGGGGTCGACCGATATGTCATTTTCAGGGCCGATGCCGATACCGATTATTACAGATCAAATAGACCGATAACCGATATTTTGAACCGATATATGTCTGGTGTAAAAATGTAAATTAATGTCAAAATTAAGAATAACAAAGGGTTTTGACAAATAGGCCGTGGAGATCTTTGAGTTTCTGTGTGTTTATGATATGATATGACGATAACTTTTCTCAGTTGAAGCATTAAAAAGCTCATGAAGTGACTAAGCCACTCTGGAGAGGATGTTTATGCAATCATGTCCTCATATAATGATGCGCCTGAGGCTGAAAACAGCGCAAGCGTCACGCGTGCTCCAGTGTGTGTGTGTGTGGTATTAAATGAAATCACGCGTCTGCGCCATTCATTTAGAGACACGCAGGATTCATATTTAAATAGTCTTTTTGCGGTTTGAAATTCGATTTGATTTGTACTGACCTGCTTTTTATTAATTCATCAAAAAGTTGACAAATTCCGTGACATTCCGCTTTATACAGTAAATTCCGTTTTTATGACTGGATTTTCGTCTGTTTTCTGCATCGCGGAAATCACAGGGCTCTATTATATTGAGGTATTTTGCAACTTCAGTGTAGTAATTTATTGCTTCTTCAGCAAAGTCTGCTGCTGCCTTTGAGAGACAACTGATGATCAGTGAAGCAGCTCCAGTCAGCAAGTGCTTTCGGTGTGAGAGTGCAAAACTTTCAGTGCCTTCAGCTTTCCGCGTTGATTGGCCGGACTCGTGACTCCCAACAAATCAGATGGGCGGGGACATTAGTCTAGTCTACAGAGTGGTGAGTTCCGACAGATGTGGGTTAGAGCCAAATATAGCGCATTTCAAAATAAAATTATTTTATCGGCAAATCGGTTTTGAAAATGGCCGATACCGATAACCATAAAATGTAAGGGTGCTCCGATTGATCGGTCGCCGATCACAATCGGCCGATAATTGCTTTGGGATGTGTGATCGGCTGTCTCTATAGAGGCCGATCCAGAAAAGCCGATCAGATGACGCAAAACTCGCGAGACAATTTTAATCTGCCCATCACTAACACAAAGTCAAAAAGGCTCCAATTGCAACAATTTACTAAGATAATCACAGGCAGGTACTAACAGGCAGGTTCAGACAGGCAGATAACACACACTAACACGACTATACAAGACTAACAACCGACCAAGACTGACTGAACAGAACAAACTAAATACAGACACTGACTACGTTTACATGCAGCCAATAACCCGTTCAAAACCGGGATATTAGCAATAACCCGGTCGAAAGCAATGATTGGACAGACTTTTATTGGTCCTGTGACTTCGACAGATCATGTTCATCATGTTTTAATATTTTAGACCACTTCTATTATTGATTGCTATCATCATGATGTGATGAGAATTTCAACCAGTATAAAAAAGTGTTAATGAAAATGCCTTACTTTAAGTTAGTCCAACATAAAAAATGACCCCATTATTTTAATAGCCAGACTTTTAATAGTGTAACTCCGATTTTTTTTTAAATGGGCCTGCAAGTTTATTTACTTTTCCCTCCTTACTACTTGCAAACTAACTTTTCACAGTGCATTTTGTGAGGGTATTTCTGCCATCTTACTCTGGTGATGTACATGCATGCAAAAAAGCATAAGCGTAACTGTTATGTACGTTTTTATTCAGACAGCATTATATGCTTCCTACAGAGGGTTCGTGTACTCCTGCTGAACCGGATGTGATTCATGCTCCGTCTCAGTGTTGTCGTTGCGTGGCCAATCAATGGCGGACGGAGCCTGTGCGTTTGTCTGGTAAACGTAGCCTACGTTTTGCACAAAATACAGGCCTACTCGAATACAAATCAGGCCATAAAATATTTTTAGTCGCGTTTTCGACCCAGCTCAGATCTGCGCCCGTCAGCATGGATGTGAATTTGACCATCTCTCTGATGCGGGGCCAAATGGGCGCTGTCATAGAGAAAGCCGTGAACGTCGCGGTGGAGACCGTGTTAGGAGAGATGATCCGGGTGGTCGGGCTCAAATTTGAGGAGATCAAACGGGAGATGACAGCTAAAGAGAAGGAGAATGAGAACATCCGGAGAATGTTGGAGACGTCCCGCTGTCAGATGAAAACAATGCGCAAGTACATTAGTGTCCTGGCTGCTAAAGACGCCAACCATAGACTGTATCAGGGAGATGGAGACATGGTATTATCCACAGGGATACACTGCAGAAGAGTCCAGACGAGCACTGTGTCAATGTGTGCCAAAGCCCCAAACCCCTTTCCCAGACCGAGAGTCACTGAACCTGCCCCTGTAGCTGGACCCTCATGGGTGAGACATCAGATGCACATGCCCAAAGAAACCTTAAGAAATGAGAATCACATTGCTGATTTCCACATTGAAGAGATCCATGGATCATCAGTTAATAAAGGTATGAAACGTCAGCTAATAAACATGTATGGGTGATGCACAGTACCTTTTCATATTCCCATCATGTATTAGATTAAAATAACAAAGATGAGATAGAAATCATGTTTGTTAGTTTTCTTTAATCAACAGTATCACAACATAGGCTTAAATTGTTTGTTCACCCAAAAATATGACTTTATTCTTTCAGTTGAGTGAACTAACCCTTTAATTTTAAATAATTTCATTACTTTAGTTTGAGGGTGTATTGTCATTTTTGCCGCTAAAATAAAACTGGCAATTTATTAAGAAATATTCCAGATGGTAATTTTTTTTTCTTTGATTGAAATGTTTTCTTGGGAATATCAGCAGGAAGTGACACAATTTTAGCTGGAGACATTTCTAGCTAGGTATTAGAAGTTCATTAGAATACCTTTGTGATGTTTTGTTGAATTATTTGCTTTGTCTTGTGCTTTAAACATTCTATTATGTTTAAATAAATTACAGAAATGGGTGTGGTTGTCTAAATTTCAGCTGTCAATCCCTCACTGAGCAACTCTAGCTCTGTATTTCCATCCTGTTGGGTTTCATCTTGTTAATTTTCTTGCCATTGTGTAAATAATTTCTTAAACTACACTTCCATACACTAACATTTTTTATAGCAATACTTATATTATAACACAAGCATACTGTACTCATTTTAAAGAAGTTACAGAGCTGCATAACAGGAATGATCAATACTATTCCACTGTTAGTGACGATACAAGCAAATATCGCCACAAAACAACAAACAAATGTCCACATGTATATGCAAGAAAAGCACTAAGGGGCTGTTTACATGAAGGAAACCCTTTTATACACTACACTTTTATAATACCTCCATAAAATATGCATACCTCCAAACATATTCCTTTTTAAGAAGTTACCAAAAGGTGCTGCATAACAGGAATGAACAATACTATTCCATTATCCATAATAGGTTGATACATGCAAAGGTATCTTGTTGAAAATTGATGGATTGCAGACCAGACACACTCTCAACACTGTAAAGTACACCACTACTTCACAATAAATACAGTGTACAATATATATAGAAATATAGGCCTATTGCACTGTGTATTTTAATTGTATCATTTACTCAGAACTAGCGGTAGGCATTTATTTTTTAAAGGCCGATATTGATATTTCGAATAGGGTGGTAGACTACATATACTATTTAACAATGGCACATATCATTATCATATACACAAATTACTGATTTTCTATAAACATTTATTTTATACAATATTTATTTACTATATAGCCACTGCATGTGTGCTTACATAGTTAACTTGAGAATCATTTCAAGTATCATTATTACTACAATATTAGCAAACAGGATGCTGCATAGTTTCAAAGTGGGACAAACTGACTATTACTAGAGTTAATCAAATCTTTTGCTAATACTTATTGAAGTTTGTTCTACACCCGAAATTATGCCACTTCTTGAATTGTAACAATTATTATTTCAATCCCCATAAATGTTAGTTTAAAGGTGCTATATGTATTTTTTAGTGGCCTCTATGGGTGATGTTTTAGATTGCAACCAATTTTTACAAGAGCGCTCGTGCTCTTGCACGTGCTCGAACACAAGAGCGAGCGCTCATGGTACCGGCCACACTGAGACTTTCATCACACAACATGCTGGAAACTCATGTAAACTCCCACTGCAACGTTACAATAATAGGCTACTTTTATCAGCTTGACGTTGAACTAATACTCCATGCTCGTACCATGATAACGTTACATTGACTGCATTTAGCCGACATGTGGTGTTATCTAGCACAACGCATTTCACTAACTATTCGTGTATCTTTCACAATCAGGCAGCAATGTCAACATAGCCTAGATGAATATATAATATGATAACGAAAACGGTTAGTGAACTAGACTGAACAATTTCAGTGTAACAGTAAGATCGTAGGAAGTAACATTACTGTACTGAACGTGTCTGGAAATGTGTATTATAAACAATATGATAGTAGTGGGATGAATGACGTTAGACAGTAGATCTAGTACATAAAATAAAAGTTACATCCTAAAGCACCTACTTTTTTTTTATCCTGGAACAGTCTTTTGTATTCATTTCTTGTCTCATGTATGTTGTAGTTTACCTTGCTATTTCATTACAGTTTACCATTATTTCAGCATATCTGAAAACTTGTAATTTATCACAATATAAATAGCGGAGCTCTCTCCATAATTCAAACGCTCTGCCGATGTTGATCCGTGTTTTCGTCCTAAGTCGATCCGATTGACGTTTGGCCCGACGAGCTTCAGCAGATACATTTTTGTTTTCTATATTTATGTGGGGTTTGTGTTGGAGTGTGTGTTGTGCTGGAGGCAGGTCGTTTTTTGGTGTTATCAGACTCCATGTCGTCAGCTGAAGTGCCGTCGCATAGACTGTATATAAAAAGGAGAGAGGCTCGGGAGCGCGCATGCACGTCACATCCGATGTATTTCGCAGAAAATCCGACCCGGAGACCTCACATAGAAATAGGAATACTGGCCTTCAGAGGTAATAGCAAAACCCGACAAGTGGATCATTGTAATGTGTGATTACAACCCCTTCACACACAGGCAATAAAAAAAGGATTCATTTTAGAAGAAAAGTTACATATAGCACCTTTAATGTTATATTAAATATATAAGGACAGTTATGATGGGGACATGAAAATGAGTTTCATTACTTAAATGACCCACTATCACTACTCAAAAGTTCAAGGAAAACAGTTCAGGAATTTTGTAATATGACTATTATTTTCAATCAGGCAGTGTGTATTATACTTTCCTAATGTTTTCTCTCAACTCAACAGAAAGTGACTTTTGTTGTTTCCATAGTTGATAACTCAAACCCTCACCTGGTGGACAGTCAGGGGCTTCTGTCTGAGACCAGTGATCCAATATGGGGCCAAACCCCTCTGGCCTCTGCAGAGACTGGGCACACAGACATGTCCGACAGCAGCGTCCTCTCTGCACCCATGATGGCAGATCCAAGCTTGTCATCCCAGACCACAAGCACAAGTACAGTGACCTTTGGAGCACCATCGCTGAAGATCAAACAGGAGGAGGCAGAGGTTGAAATTGTCTGTGTGAAGGATGAACCTGCAGAAGCTGGCAGCATGTCTAGGCTTGAATATTGCAACCCTGAACTGCACCATCAAGTGGGGGAACCAGAGCTTGGGCTCTCACTAGATCTACCTGCATCCTTTCAAGCTCTTCAGAGTCCAGGCACTTCAGCAGACCTTGCAATCCCAGCATTCATCAACATGGACCCAACCACCTGTAAGTATAAAATTTACATTTTTACACTGGTTTATTTGGGGTATTATGAACATGTATTCTTTTCTCAGGCTTTTAAATCCCAGATATCACACATATGTCGCCAAGATATGTTTTTTTTTAAGTATGGTTGACAAAAAAATTATTGCGTAATAGCTTAATTCCATAAAAAAAGCTTGTTTTTATTTTATATACTGGACAAGGGAATAATAATTATAGTATGACGTTTTTATAAAGCTGATTTTTATACAGCTTGTAACGAAACGTAAAAAAACCCAAGAAATTCCCCGACTTCCATGAAAGCCTGATTTTTGTGTGAAGGACTCTGTTTCGCCGGGAAAATCCAAAGGATGTGACATTTACGCGCACTCCCAAGATCCACTCTTCTGTTCAATGTCACATGAAATGAATGCAAATACAATATTCAGGATCATGCTGAAAGAGCTAATTGTGTAACGCAATGTCAACGTGTCATTCAAAGAAAAGGGATTAATTCAAACTATAGTCTCAAATATACTTTAAAATTACACTGTTATGATAATTTGATTATAATTACCTCATCTGTCACCATGATGCCGGTGAATCGCAGAGCTGGAATCGTCGGTCTCAGCAGCATGGATGATTCTAGATGATTGATAACAGTATATTGTTGCAAATGTATTTCCAACTTTTTACTTCTAAGTGAAGAACGAAAAAGGTCTTCGCCGTGAGTATATCAGGGTTTTGAATCACGTTCAGTCTCCTGTATGTTACTTGTGCTCGAGTGCGAGCACGAGCAATAGGTTGCTGGCTGCAGTTCACTTAGCGGCCACCGGTGTCGCTAATAACAAGGGTTTCTGAATTCTACATATAGCCCCTTTAATACAGCAAGATAGATGCTAACCATCGGAGTTTATTGTAGCAGTGTTTTTTTAATAAGGTAATAAAACGATTTAGTTCACCCAGAAATTAAGATTCGGTCATTAATCACTCTCTCATGCCGTTCCAAACCCATACGATTTTTGTTCATCTTTTAAACACAAATGTAGATATTTTTTATAAAATCAGAGAAAATAAATCGATCGATTTATACGATGAACAGATCTAATTTAGGTTTTTTTAAAATACATAAACAGTGAACATACAAATAGAGCTCCGAAACATGGTAAACGGAAGCTCAACCGTACGTGCTTGACATTAAATTACATCTATTCATTATATAAAGCGATCGTGACTCTTCAGAAGACTTTAGTTAAACCGCTTGATAAATATGGATTTCATTTATGATCTATTTATGAACGTTTTAAAGCGTCAGAGTTTTGGGTGAATAGTCTTTCAATGGAGGAACAGAAGTCAATCAGATTTCATTAAAAAGTATCTTCATTTGTGTTCTGAAGATGAACGGAGGTCTTATGGGTTTGGAATGACATGCGGTTGAGTAAATGATGACAGAATTTTTAAAAAGCCTTTTTTTTTATTTTTTTTTATTAAATTGCAAGAAATTTAAAGTTCTGATCTGTGGTCAAACTGATTTTACTGAAGTGGAAGTGCACCAAAAAAGGATTATGAAAATGACAGAGTGCTTCACTTTACGTCAGGTCAAGACAAAGCTTTTATAATTACGTAAAAACTTATATAACCATGTAGTATTAACCAATAAAACCAATAAAATACAAAAGTTTACTTGCTCTCATTTCATTGAAAAACTCTATGACTTTGTGACAAGTATCCTAAAACAACATCTAAGGGATATTCAACAATTTTTTCGGAGAAAATATTTCTGATAAATTATCTGATCGTGTGGTTAGAGGTATATTTTTGTTTTGACACTTGCTTTTGATTGTGTGGTCCAAACCTGTCGGCCACAGACCTCTTTTCGCATTGTTTGACTCTGAACTGAGGTCCGTGAGCACTAGCAGCAACCGCTGTTTACCACTGTAGCAAGAAGAAAATGCACTAAAAATGGAAATCATGGTTATCTTCACAAGTACCAATGGTTTATCACTTTGGTTTTACAATCAAAACTTACAAACACCTGCCATGGATATGTTGCGAAAGAGATGGAAAGAGTGAAAGTTGCTTTCTGAAGCCAATTTCTACAGAAGAGCAGCAGTGAGAAATTCATGAGCTGTTCATAATCACAACTTAGGCTGTATTGCTTTAATACCAGTTGCAAAAGTGTACTGCAATCCACATGAACTGTACCTTACCTGTTTTTTAATAGGTTAGGATTTCAAAGCTCAATACTCAGTTTTGCGGTCTGAGGAATGTGGTGTATGGCAGTGACAAGCCATTTTTAGTCTTACACTGAACTTCAACACTGTAACGCAGAATTAAGGTTTGAAAATTACAAGGTTGAAATGGTCATAATATTGACAGTACTCACGAAAGGCTCATTGTACATATGATGAATTCGTACATATCAAGTCATGCTGAGTTTAAAGAATCTATTCATTTGGAATATGGAGAAGCTGAGCAAGTCTTCATATTGGATTCCTTTTTTCAGACTCTGTAATGGCAAAAACAGCTGCTGAAAAACAGAGAGCATACAGGGCGAGAAGGGATGCTGATCCTGACCGCAGGGAAAGGTACCTCCGAACTGAGCGAGAGAGGTGGAGAAGAGATGTTGAGACAGGGAAAAAGAAGAGAATTGGTGACCTGTGTGAGAAGGCTCAGAGATGGAGGCGCAAGCAGTGGAGAGAAGCCAAAGAACGACAGAAGAGGAAACCATTTTTCAAAATAATTGCCTCCCCTCCAGACAGCCCCGAACCTAGTCTGATGGTGTTACTGCAACCCCGAAGAGGACCGCAGTCAGACTGACAAGTCAGGGTCAGGACGTCCCAGGTGCAACTCTTCATGGCCTTACCTAAACCAGCATAGCCTTAAAAGTGAGGTGATCATAAAAGCACTTGAGTCCATCAACATTGAGGCTCCATCGGGTGCTCATTCAGGCACCAAGTAAAATGACTTGTGACCAAGTCAATGAGCTGCACAATATTTCAGATGTAACTGAAAGAGAGAGAGGATGACTGAGATTCTGGGTAATCCATTGTTTATGATGGATCTTAACCTCCACTGACTGAACCTTGTGACATCTTGACATTTAAATTCACAAAGATGGGCCATGCTAAATGAATATGTTACTCTTTGTATTACATGTGTTCTGCTATGAGGTACTTTGTAATGAGTGGTCAAAATTTAAATAAATAAATTAATGTATGATTGAATCGATTAATGCATATTTCATTAACAGTAGACACTTCAACCCTGTTATCATTTTCAACTCTGTTGAATTGGATTCAGCCCTGTTACGTTTTCCCCCCGTCACTGTGTTTTTGTAATATTCTGCGTATTTAGAGCATATCTGAAGTAACCAGTAAATTACAATATTTCATGCCTTACTGAATATCTTTAGAATACTGAATCATGTTTAAACTGTAACAGGAATATATTTTATGTTTTCAATGAATAGCATCAGATAACTTGGTAATTTGGGCCTGAGGTGGAAAATATTTCTTCTTGAGACCAGCAATAATATTTTCATGCAATAATGAATGTTGATTATTTCATGAAAATGTTATTTAAATGTTTTATTTGAAAAGGCCAGGTACACAGGGCATCCATTTCTGAGAGTTTTTGTTTACTATTGTAAGTTACATCATTACATGTTTCATAGCACAGGCCAGATGATGGAATACTTTGTTCAAAAAATGTTTTTAAGGAGCTTTCAGTGAATGAGACTGATAATCCTTTTCTAATGAATATTCATGTTAAAATTGTCAGAATTCAAAATAAAAAACTTTCAAGCTGTTCATGTTTTAATACACATCGCAAGTCATTCAGTGAAGGGGAATCACGAGAGAAATGCATCAACATGAACAGGTGAGTCTAACTGCTTTACTTGAACTTTAAAACTTTAAAGGTCACTGTGTTTATCATATATTAAGACTTCTAATTACTGAACCAACATTCATGGTTTTAAGACCATTTGTTTTATTTTTGTACATTTTTAAACATTTCAGAATAGTGTTTTTAAATTTATACCATTTCAAGGTATGTTAATATAGGTTTGGATAAGATAAATTATTGTAAAGGTAACAGGGCTGATGGTAACAGAGTTCAGCTAGACAAGGAAAGGTCATGACACTATATGCTTATTGAGAGAATTGAATGTGAAAACTTTACAATCATTTTCAATAATCAGACCAGCGTTTACTGTACAAAATGGTAACAGGGTTGAAAGAAGCATAAAAAGGAAACATGTCCTTGCAGAGATGATGTTGCCATATAGACCGAATCCTATAATCTATGACAAAATTTAAATAAGCGTTATAATGGCAACAGGGTTGACATGTAACCTGAGGACAAACCTTCAACCTAAATCGACAAATATATTAAGAATAAAGGCTTAATTCTAGCTTTTACTCGTTTGTATTTGTTTTAAATCTAATGTGTGTGTTTGCTAAGCAGAAGTTAAAAAGAAAGCTGGGGACCGACAGACAGACAAAGAAAATTCAAACTGTTGTCTGTTCTTCGTTTACAAAAATGCCTGTAATTATGCATAGTGAAAGTATTCCTTGTTAAAGTCATTGTTTAAAAACAAAAAGGTAAATACTGGACCCATTTAGTTTTTGAAGAAGTTTGGGTCAGTTTTATTTTTTCTTTGATTAAATCGTTTCATTTAAGCAGCTTTTCAACATGAATCTAACAACAGCCAATTCAATTTCTTTGTTTTTCTGAAATGGATTACTGTTAGAAAATTTGAAGGTTTTCATGTTTGTAAATTTGTTTTGCAGCCATGTCAGATGCGAGCCCAGAGAGTTTTGAAAATAATAAATGTACAGGTAAGTTTAATCCCTTCATTTACAATGTCGAGTTAAGGTCATACATTTATAAAGGTTTACTGTTCAGTGTCAGTCCCAGCTAAATCACCTGTGGTATTGCAGCTGACGAGAGGGCTATTCTTGAGTGGCAGGGAGAAATGGACTGGAAAATCAACCACCTGACTGCATTGGTTCAGTGTCTTGTGGGGGACAAGCACTTTGAACCCCCACTGCAGATGGAGGATGAAGACGAGGATTGCGTCTTGCCTCTGATGTCAATGGAGGATCTTGACCGGTTGGAGCAAACGCTTCTAGACAAAGGGAAAATGCAAAAATTGGTAAGATTCTTTGGAATGATCGAAATAAAGCAGTTTTTGGTGAATTTTTATTTACATGCTATATTCAATCTCTGTTTTAGTTGAACAGATTGTCTGTTAGTGGAGGTCAAACTATGAAAAAGACCGTGGGGAGAATTTGCAACAAGGTCTTTGCCTCAAACGTGGCAAAACAGCTCAATTGGTGCGGACGTGGAGACAAGCGAGGCTTGAGAAAAACAAATATTGGGGTACTAATAATAGGTATGAATGGAATTCTTTTAAGAATAAAAGTATTGTAGTGATATCATAGTTACAGATCTCAGTCAATTCACATATGAATACATTTTAATTTTAACATTTGCAATTAATTGCTCTAGAATTTGTTCCACTTGTGCTGACATTGCATGCATAAACACAGTCAGACTTGTCTGTTCAGGTAAAGTTCAGTAATAAATGAAATAAAAATGTTGTTTTGTTTCTTTGTAAACTAATAACCTATCTATTTAACATACAGCTGCAGCTATGAGGAACAGTGCCCTCCTGACTCCCACAGAAGCAGAGGCAGAGAAATGCATCAAAGACTACCTGCGTTTGGCCCCAGGAAGGACATCCTCCTAATCTATTGTAAAAATGTCCATTTTGATTGATACATTGCTTGTACAAAGAATTACTGTATTGCATACTGTTAAATAAATATTTTAATAACTACTTGATCTATTGTTCAGTAGTAGTAAATTAGGGTTATTAAAGTGTCCACAGTCAGTGTCCATTTTTTAAAATCATCATTTTTAAAACATCAGGATTTTAGACAAGGCTTAAGCCTAAAATGCATGTTTGAGCTGTTTTAACTGAAAGAGACTTGCACTGGCATATCTTTAAATATATCAGTGCCATTGTTTTGGCTCAAAATGCACACTTTTATAAAAGCTTCTTATAGTTTAGTGGCAAATTAAAAGTGATATATATATATATATATCACTTTTAGTTGGCCACTAAACTGTTATAGATGAAAAAAAAATAAAAAATCTATCTTTAGAAAAGCACACATTTGTACATTTTTACAGTCTCCATGGGGTTGAATAATTTTGAACACGAATGTTAAGAGCCAATTGGATTTTTCTTTTAATTTCTCATCAACTTAACATTCTCAGAATCACACACACAAATACAATTTTGTTCTTGGCAGCAAAATGTCTTGCAGGTCAAGGGGGTTTAATTATTTTGATTGCAACTGTAAATGTCCTCATTGAACTAAGGCCTAGTCCTGGCTTAATCTAAGCCTTGTCTGTGAAAACCGGGCCTAAGAAGTTTAAACTTTTCCCATGGTGTGAAAATTACAAATATTCTATGTAATCTTTCAAGTAATATCATATAAAAAAATAAAAAACCCCTATGAAACTACGTCAGGTTATATTGTAAAACCAAATGCATTCTAAAAACGTAGATATCTTTGCTTTTGTGAATCTGAAACTTGCTCAGCAAACATTGATAAGAAGATACTTGAGGTTACCAGTTATCAGGAAACTGACAGGATGTGATGTTGCAGTAAGCAGCCAAAACAGTTTTCAGGAGAGGAAAAAGCTGACGTGTAACATTAAAACCATTGCTTTCACCACACATGTCGGAGCTGCGTATGCACGGAATCACAACAGATCTGCTGGTTCGTCAGTTTCATGTGAATTGTGATTCATTTAAGTGATTCTTTTGTGCCACCCTGCGACTCGGCATTGTCTTAAAGTGAACACTGCCTGTTTAATAATGTGTTAGAATAAGTTTCCGAGGGCTTCTGTAATATTTCACTGTGCATCTCTTTAGGTTTGAGGGTGTTTGTGTATATTTTACTTTTTAGTTACTTGATCATATAGTAGTTTTGAGATGGGCTTCAGTTGGCCTAGGTCAATATTGAGTACTTATGAGTGTTAATGTAAATTATATTAACATCATATAAAACAATAGCATGCTGCTATTGTTTGAAATAGTGGCTCAGAATTTGATGAGGTTTAAATATGTGTATTAATATATTTAATCTCTCACCTCTCTGCCCATATTTAGATGACGACTCTCAGCTGTGTGTGGGAGGGGTCCAAAAGCAGGTGCGTCCGAGACGTAAGGACCTGAACCTGAACCTGTATGAAGAGTACAAACGCAGCAGAACTTTGAGTCTAAGAGGCCGGAACACAAACCGAGGGCTTGGTACAAACCGACGGCGTGAGCTGGAGCAGACTCTACCACAGGCTCTACTTGCAGACCTGGTAAGAGAACGAAGAGAAAAGACTCGCCTTCGAGTGGCCCGCTGGCGTGCCAAACGCAAACTACAAGCCTGTTTGATGGCCTCGCAGGCTGCGCAGTTTAACGGCGCTCCAGTGCAGAGTTCACCTGCCCAGCGGGGCGGCCTGATCTCCTCCCGCAGGCGAGGAGGGATGACTGCGCACCGAGGTGGGCTTGGATTGAGAAGGGGACTGTCCGAGGCTGGGACATATAACCTGCTGCTGCAGTTCGGGCCCAGTCCTACCCAATCAGCACCAGCACATGGCATCAATGAGGGTATGATGCCCTCAGCGCTATCACAGAACAGACCGACTTACCAATGATGCAGTGTTTACTTGCTGGCAGAAACTCACGCTAATTAAAGCTGCCGTCGGCAACATTTTTTTGATCATATTCAGTGAAATCGACACTATAATCTGACAGAACAACATAAATAAAGTGGTTTTAGAAAAAAACCCGATCTTCTAACTCCACCTTGAGCGTGTTATTTGTTTTGCAAAAATCCACAGCTCCCGGTTCATCATGTCCAATCAGCGTAGGGGGGTGTGAGATCTGACTGTCAATCACAGATCGGGCACACGCCACCCCTCGCGCAAGTTACAATCACATGCACACGCCTGAAGTTCGCAGAAGTTCGCGCAGTAACGAAGAGTGATGGCGGAAAATCAAGTAAGCTCATTTAGAGTATAAATGACGTTAGCAATTGCAATCTATCGGTAGATTAGCCAGGACAGCATACCTCCAAATACTCCATGGTGTTGATGGATGCTGATGAGACGGGCGGGTTCACTGAAAATCTGGTGCACACGCACTGACGAGCACGAACTCGGTGGGAGGGTATCCGTTGATAGTGGGGGAGGGGCATGAGAGTTGTAAACATTCAAAATTTTCCTAAATCCACTCAATCTGCCAGACTTGCCGACTGCAGCTTTAATGGTGGAACTTGAAAAAAAGTTGTCAAATGGTTAATAAAGTTCCTAAAAAACTTGCAAACTGATCTGTGCAAACCTCAAATTAATTCAACCTTTGGCTTTGCAAACTCAACCAACAATTCTACCTAATTAGATTACATTAAGCATTTAACAACCGTGACTGTATAATAAAATACATTCTACAATAAACTGTCCTGAATAAAAATGTAAATGGAAAAAGTACAAAACATATTGTCCAAGGATATTGTGATCATCAGTTATGTTGATCACAATATATATAATGTCCTAGTTATGTTGGCCCACATAGCTTGTTGAAATGTTTTTGACCGCAGTGGTTCAGGGTGTTTTTAAATAATTTGGTCCATTCGTTAAAATATACCCATGTTCATCATTGTGGCCTAAATCTTTCCAGCAAATGGCATTGTTGGCTATAACTATGACAGTTGTTGATCAGATAATTTTGTATGACAGTGTTTTCTAAACGAGCACACGGTGCAAATGTGCTGTATAAGCAGATTAGTGTGTTTGATTTTGAGCAGACTAACGTGGTTTAACAGACACTTGTGTAAAAAGTGATGAGTGCTGTTTATAGTGTCGGGAAATGAGTCTCTGTTTTGGTGGCTGATGTAATGGTATGTTTTGGTGGGAAAAGGTTTTACTGATAAAATGCTCACACATATAGTTATCTAGGTAATGGGGAAAACTGTAAACCAAGAGCCGGATCAGGTTTGGTATCGATTCATTTACAGCGATCTTACGGTTTTTTTTAACCACAGTGTCTTACTAAAAAACGTGCAATAAGGCATTGTGACAGTTGCTTCCATAATTCAGCAGCTCAGGACCAAAAGCCACAATACTACGTTAACATTTCACACTTATTCTTGTCTTTGAACAAGAACTTTATAAAGCTTCGTTTTTTTATCGGAAAAGATTACATTTAATTCATAGTATTCTGAGAAGTGACTTTGAAATTTAGTCAGCTGAGAGAAAACACACTGATATCAATATAAGGCAATACACAATGTGTTTCACAAAGACTACAAATAAATTTTATTGTAACCCTCACAACTTTACATAGACTCATTTGGGTTATTCTCGCTTGTTTTATGTAATTGTATTGACACAAATGTAAATTTTTTAGTTATAACTGTCATTTTTAATGTCACTATATAATCATGTCTCAAGTTTTGAAGCTCTACAGTAGAATAGTTCAACTGTATACACTAGGATGTGATTCAAGATTAATAAACATGTTTTCTACAGGTTTCATGTGCTATGTTCAGTGTTACGCTGTTTAAAGATTATTAAATGTTTAATGTTGTGTATGTTACAATTGTTGGTGCATAATTAAATAAAATATAAGATCTTAAAATAATATAAGATTGTTCCTAAAATCAACCAAGTTATGCTCCCGAGTAATCATCTACCTGCAGAGCAAATGTTTAAATGTGTGCTTCAAGAGTTCAATGCAAATTACATTTGTGCTGCTCCATTGTGTCCAATGACTTTATATGGGTGTTTAATTACCCATTGACTATCTTACTACTGATCGCCCCTGGTAGGGTGTAGAAGATGAGAACCAGGAACAAAGTCACGATCAACAGCACCAGTCCAGCAATGATGTATTTCTTGTAGTTCCCCCAGATCAGGTGAAAGAAGCACTTGAAAGGATTCATAAACCAGGAGAAGGATGTGTCTGGGCGACTAGAGAAAAGAGAGATAATTCAATAATTACAAATAATTTACATATACACAGTGCATACAGTAGAACTACCCACACAACCCCAAAACAAATAATTTCATTTTTTATATTTGTATAATTATACTTTTTTTTTCTTATTATATAGGCCTATATACTAACTGATTGGCAACCCTATAGTAATAATGGGAAATGAACATTTAAATTTAAAATTCGGGTTTGGAATGACATGAGGGTGGGTAATTAATGACATAATTTTAATTTTGGGGTGAACTATCCCTTAAGTGTATTAGTCACATTACTTTGGTTTCTCTAGAGGCTCTGGCTCTTTGCGTGCACGGCCCACTGGATTTTTCTCTGCCTCTTCAGCTGTCACCAGGTGGAATTCCGCTTCTACCTTTCCCTGTGGAAAGAAAACAGTTTAAATACTATAATAGTTTTACTAGGTCACATCATATTTGTGTAAATGTACAGTACCAAACATACTATTGTTTTGTACAGAACAAAATACATCATGTAATTGCATTAAAAATACATTAGTCAAAGTTTCGATTGTCCATATGCTTGCAAAAATGGAGCTATTGAGCTTCAGACTAAGAGTTTAATTCACATTTTTTCACTGAAATAATTCAATTCACACACTGTGAGTTCGCCAGCTTTAATGAAGGGCCACCAGCCTTTGGAGCGTTTCTGCTGAAAGATAGAGATGTTCTCTGTGGTTTCCGTCAGCATTTCCATCTTACAAGCTTTAGCTGATTTGGCTCCATGTGGAAACCCATGCAGGTCCAACTCCACTGAGCCTGAGAAAAACACAAAAATGACCTTCATCAAGTATTAATATCAAATATTTTGAGCCAAGGTTTCTGCTATTGTAAGCTAGCAGTGCTCCTACAGCACATCAGGAATGACTACAGAGCACTTCTAGGGAGGATGTGATGCAATGCATATAATAAGATGATAAGCGATAGAGATTTCTTACCCAGGAAGTCATCAGAAGAAAGCCTCTCAAAGTCCCACACCTGCATAACAAGGACTGCAGGCATCTTCTGTTCAGTTTTGTCCAGAGAGTAGATGCTTTCTCGCTTTTGTACCACCACCACTTTCTCAGCTGGCAGGTAGTTAAAGGGGAACACAAAGCGCCAGTTGAAGTTGCCTTCTCCGGTCAGAGAATTGTAATGGACATCAGTTTCCTGGCCGTCATCTTCAAGACCCTTTAACCACCTGAAGGGAAACATGAAATTCCCCTGAATTTTGATGTTGCAGGAACAATATTCTTTAATCATAATGTTATGTATTAGGAATATTAGAAAGCATTTTTAGAAAACATATACAGTTAACCTGCAACAGTTCAGTATCTATGCTAGTTCAAAAAGTTGAGTCTTTTATGCTCACCATGGCTGCATTTATTTGATCAGAGATACAGTAAAAGTAATATTGTGAAATATTATTACAATTTAAAATAGCAATTTTATGTAATTTATTCCTGTGATGCAATTCTCTTCAGTCACATGATCCTTCAGAAATCATTCTAATATGCTGATTTGCTGCTCAAGAAAGCTTTCTTATTATTATCAATGTTGAAAACAGATGTGATGTTTATGTGATGATATTTTTACGGCAATCGTGATATTTTTAGGATTCTTTGATGAATAGAAAGTTCAAAAGAACACCATTTATTTAAATCTTTTGTAACATTGTAAATGTCTTCACTGTCACTTTAGATCAATTTAATGAGTCACTGCAGAATAATTTCTTTCAAAAAAATCTGACTGACCCCAAACTTTTGAAGACGTTTTCAATATATAAAAAAACGAAACATTTTCTGTTGATTGTGATCTACTAATGTTACCCTTTGACGTAAATGTCACTTGACTGTTGTCCTGTTATGAAGTTGGTGTCCTCTAGTATTACATCTTCAGTGTTCCAGATAATGATTCTCAGTTCATACCTTTATTAAAAAAAGAATTTAAACAAATTATTGGACAAACCACTACTAACTTTACTGCACAACCAAGGTAAGGTGGTTTTGTGGATCTTCAGCTTACCCTTTGGGTTTGCGAGGGGAAATGTCCACAGGAGGGCCAGGATGAGGCATATCCATTGGAAAAATGTCCACCCACATCTGCAGATGGCCCTGAGGAACATGCAAATGGACAATTATTATGTCACCTTATGCATTCTATAAAGTGCATTAAGGTTACATAAACCTCTAAAAACACACATTACCTGGTCTATTCCTGGTTTGTCTTTAAGGTAGAGTGCGCGAGTTTCAATATGCTCTGGGACAAGTTTACAGGCCCCACTGGTCATCTCAGACCACCTGTGTAGCACCTTTAGAGCCAAGTGCTCGTACGACTCCACCATCTGATCTGTGAAGCAGCAGCGAACCCATTGCTCCTTTGGCCATTAATCAACAATCAACATCATGACGTAAACCAAAAGAGTGACATACCTTCATCAGCAAATACCGTTTTCCCTGTGAAGACTTTGTTTCCTATGGTAATGTGGCCTGGAGAAAAGCGAGGGTTGTCCAGTCTGTTTTCTTTGCAAAGCTTAATCAACAGGTCTGTTGGCTTGATGCTGTCCCTCCATGCATTATAACCCTCACTGGGTGACATGAGATCATCAATTTTGACACCAAGAGTGGGCATCAAACTAACTTGATGAGAAGAACTGGATGTTACAATATCAATACTCACATGGCATATTCAGAAGGCAGACCGCAGGTAGCTCGATGCCTGCTGTAAAAACGGTTCTCCAAATCGATCTGTGTTTCTCCAATCAAATCATCCCCACCGACAGTGTCATAGTCATAGATGAGAATAGTTAGCAGGGATTCCTTGGGGAAAGTGGCTTGAAATTCAAAGGATCTGAGCAGGAGAGGTAGATTTGAGAGAGAATGAGGCTCAATGAAACAGGCAGTTGATACAATGATTGAGAAATTCACTTTGAAATTCTGATTGTTCACCTTCCAAACACTGGGTTGAGCTGCTTTGGGATGTAATTGACCCTGTCTTTGATCTCAGTTTTCCCAAGTTTCAGCACTATATAAGGGTCTGCTTTGCCATCTGGATCCGCAGGGTGCAGGTTGAAGGCCTTAACATGCATAAAAGTGACAAGTGACTGTATAATCTGGTGGTCACCCCTGTTGAACACCCTTAAGACCAGCAAAGCTGCTCACCAACATTTGCCGATGCTCATAAATCAAACACAAATCAACAGTTTGGGGTTGGTAAGATTTTTTTTATGTTTTTGAAAGAACTCCCTTGTGCTTGCTAAGGCTGCATTTATTTGATTAAAAATATAGTAAAAACATTGTGAAGTACTAATGCATTCCTATGATGGTAAAGATGAATTTTCAGCAGTCAATACTCCAGTCTTTAGTGTCACACGATCATTCAGAAAAATCTTCCTAATATGCTGATTAGCTGCTTAAGAAGCATTTCTTATTATCAATGTTGAAAAAAAAAATAATTGCAGGATTTTTTGATGAATAGAAAGTTTTATTTGCAATAAAAATATGTTTTAACATTATAAATGTCTTTACGGTCACTTTTGGTCAATTTAATTCATCCTGCCAAAATAAAAAAATAAATTACTTAAAAAAAGTTGTTCTGGTCAACTAACCAAACCAGTAACAGACCAGAAATAACCAAAATCCTCTGTGAACCAGCATGGAAATCCATGCTGTTACATTTTTTTTTTTTTTTTTTAGTGACACTAAATCCATTGAAATGAGTAACAATTACCAAAAATCAACCAATAAGTATGTCAGTTTGCATCAATATTCCTGTATTAAAAAATATGAAAGACACTTACTGCAACTATGTATACGCGGATCAAGACCTCTACTGCAGTGTTGGGAGGAATACCCTGGTTTATTTTAAACTGCCCAGAATCCAAATATCCATCCTCCTCCTCGTCATCCGTTTCTTGCAGTTTGCACAGACAGAACCTGCCCTGATGGCACAATCAATGATGGGAATTCTGTGACCTGGGCACGTGTGTATAAAACTTCTGAGAAATGCTCTTAAGTCTTAAGCTTTGACTTAAGTGTCAAAATTATCAGTAAAAAGTAGGACTTTTTCTTTTTTCTTCTAGCTAATGTACAGCCTAAACTAACTTTTCCTGTAATCAATGTAAATCTGCTTTGAAACAAACTGTATTGTAAAAGGTGACTTGAAATAATTTTGTGAGATAAATACCTTCACTAAGTTTAGGGTTTTGTTCTTCCCTCATATTTTAAAATATAAAAAAAATATAAATATAAAAATATTTTCCCCATAATTTGATGGTTCAAGCAAACTTGTAGGGTCATTCATTTTTAAAAACTCTGCACATCACTTTTGGCCACTACTGTATGTTTGGTGTGGTCAGTGTCACAATAGTGCTATTTCAGACCCTGCTTACTGTGGAATGATGAGCTCAAGTCATCACCGGTGCACTGCTGCATTTTCCCCAGTCGCCAAAAATGTAATTATTACTTTCATTTCATTTCATTGCTATCAAATTTCTTAAAGGTTAGTTACAAAAAGAATACCTTGATGATCAACTCCATCATCATTTAACTCCAATACATCATATTTTTGTTGAAAAGTGCGTGGCCTCCTCCTCTCTGCTGCCATCTTGTTACTCCTAACTAGGTTAGGATACCTCTCCAGCACTCTTAAATAATTTAGGAGCTAGGACCTAGTCTTGACACTTAGGAACCTTTATGAATCACACTTAATCTTACATTTATGAGGAATAAGAGTAAAATTATGTAATTCTTAGAATTTTGACAGACTTAAGACTAAAATTTTACTCTGAGTGGCTTTATACATACGGGCCCTGGATCTTAAAAACCCTCCATGTATGTTATGGCCCTACATGCAAAACTGGTTTACCTTGAACTTCCCGACAAATCTCTCATCAGCAGAGCCGTCCTCCTCATTGGCCTTTCCTCGATAGAGTTCAAAGGTTTTTACCCAGTCGTCAAAAGGCCCAAACTCCGCCTCCAGCTCTTTGTCATACACCTAGAGTGATTAAAAAGTGAGGCTGCACGTCTGTTTGATGAATACATACAAATGTAATGTATAGACAGTATTTGCAGGGAAACCAAACCAAACATAATGACGCATTTTACCTGTAATGATGCAAGCCTGGGCTGTTCCAACACACTCTTGTAATTCAACTCCTTTTTCTTTTCCTTAAGACCTGATGCTAAACAAACCGTAGAAAATAACATAAAATAACTTGCACAGTCTTTAGAGGTAAACCGTTTTTTAAGAGATTAAAAGTAGATTAAAGAAGCAAATAAATATGCTTTTATCACTTCCACCAAAGAGCAATTTAAGTGTCTTACACAACCAAAACAAACCAACCGACTGACAACTTCCCAATGTACTGTCAAAAACATAAAACATTGATTTTTTTATATATTCTAACCCTCACCAGGCACTACACATTTAATGTATTTATACACTGCAAAATTAGTAAGCTGTTATACACTACCGTTCAAACGTTTGGGGTCAGCAAGATTTTTTTTTAAAAGAAGAGAAATTAATACTTTTATTCAGCAAGGAAGCATTGAATTGATCAAAAGTGACAGTAAAGACATTTATTATGTTACAAAAAAATATTTCTCATATAAATGCTGTTCTTTTAAACTTTCTATTCATCAAAGAATCCTGAATTAAATGTATCATGGTTTCCACAAAAATATTAAGCAGCACAACTGTTGTTAATATTGATAATAATACAAAATCGGCATATTAGAATGATATAAAGGATCATGTGACACTGAAGACTGGAGCAATGATGCTGAAAATTCAGCTTTGCCATCATAGGAATAAATTACATTTTTAAATATATGAAAAGAGAAAACTGTTATTTTAAATGATACTATTTCACAAAATTTACTGTATTGTTAACTAGTGAGCAGAAGAGACTTCTTTCCTAAACTTAAAAAAAAAAACGGCCCCAAACTTTTGAACGGTAGTGTCTGTGCACAAAACCCCAAATAGAGGTGCAGATCTGGGCACAGTGGGATTGCAAAATGTTGTATGATCAGAATTAACTGAAGTTTTAAGTGACTATGTGGACAATTTAATTCCATTCACATTTTTATGCTAATGCACAATTTGCATTGGGAACAAAACACTCTGCAATCCTGTTGACCGCAGCAGAGGAGGAGGGCCAAGCAATGGACAGTCTCCCAGTCATTCTTACCCAGATTGATCAATCCTTCGGAAATAATGTTCTCCAGAGGAATTACTGAAATACATCATAATGTGGGCATGTTTGACTCGATCATGTAGACATGTCATGCTCCAGCTTTAGAGGACAAGACTGATTCTGGAATAAACGCAGATGTCACTTACTATTTTCAAAGAGCAGTGGAAATGGATTGTTTTCTTTTTGCTTTGCCTAAGAAAGAAGTTGCGGTACAAAACAACTAGTTAGCAAAAAACAAAAGCAAGACAAATACAACCATCTGCTGCTTACAAACATGTTTAGAAGCTTACCTGTTGGATCTTCTGCATTGATGCATAGTATTTCGACCACCAATCAATGACGTTATCAGCAGACTCATCAGCCGTGGTGCGTTTCTTCCTTTTAGTAGATCTTCGTTTGCTCTTCTTCGACACCTGGCATTGACAAAGTGTTTTATAGAACATTAGTAGTGTGTGCATTTGCTTATGTGCTTCTACTTTCACATATGTATTTTCAGAAATTAGGGGCATAGATTAAACTGGAGGGAAAAGCTGGACGTGTGTGATACATATTTGACAATATAGGTGATAATATTCACAATCTGAGGTTCTCTCAAAATGTTTAGTTTATCCAACTAAAAACAAACCTGCTTGTCCTGGAAGTCTGGCTCAGTTTTGGGGGGAGGGGGGATTATCTCCTCATGCTCTATTTCTATGGCGATCTCCACGTTTGGCGGTGGCACAACACTTTGCTGCAGAGACAGCTGAGCCACTACAGGCGAAAAACAAACCATCCTTTTAATTAGATGTAGGCAATCACTATTATTCATTTCTCAGATTCACTGAGATTCATTTTATCATCAAGGTTTAGGGATTTAATAAAACTACAGACAGATGTGTCTGAGCAGAGTTGGAACTAAATTCTCCAGGCTTGAACTAAAGCCTAAGCCCTGTCTGTAAAACAGGCCTATATGTTATTGTGGGCTCTGAATCATAATATTTTCCCAAGACATTAAGCATTTGGTACTAGTTGTATAGGTTAGACGGACTGTGTTAGATTTTTTTGTTCAATAAATTTGATGTTGAGAAATTAATGTAGAGTTGTGGTCTCTGTTTACTTTTCATTTATTAGGACTGTTATTGTGACTGTAACTGGGACGTGCATTACCTGCTATGTTTCTGGCCTCCTGTTGGGGCTGTTGGATCGGTAAAGGGATGTGTTTGAATAATGCCAAGTTGTTGATCATATGACTACCCACAAGTGTGCTCCGTCCAAAGGCCCTCCAGTCCACCACGGTGATGGTAAGAGGAGGGAGGAGGTGTTCATCTTCAGGAAGCTCCTACAGACAAACAATAGCGGCCAGAGACATGCTGAGATCAGCAGAACATCAAGCGATGGATCACATGAGCATAGCGATAAGGGACGACACCATACGTGTCAACATTAAACGAAGAACCTGTTGTTGTAGCAGTCGACTTACCACATCAAAGGCATCCACGAGCATTGCGAAGTTCGGGTTTTTCTTGTAACTCTGTATCACTGAGGAGTTGAGGCCTGCCCCTGCACACTTGATAAAAACTTGGGGCCGATCGACAGATAAGAGCTGAACTTTTTTCAGTTCTCTGAGGCCCCAGAACAAAACCTGCAGTGCACATAAATGCAAACTCAACAACACTTGTATTCAAAGTACAGACAAAACACTAATAGTGTACACTGAAAAAGCTACATTAATTTACTTGAAATGGTAGATCCATGTTAGACTTGCCAAAATACACATTACAGATTAAAATGTCAAAAACAAGTGTGACACCTTATAAAAGTGAGACCTGGTATATAGACAACAGGACTATTTCCAACTATTACCATGCAGTTTTGCCAATGGGTGAAAACACAGTTCAGATGAGAGGCTTTTAAAAGATGCCTATAAAGCTAAAACGAATTCACAACACTTTTGGGAAATGGTAGTTGAGTCGAGATATAGTGGTTAGACACCAGCAGAAAAAGCTCTGACTAAAAAAAGGTTTCAGAAGTAGATGTCACAAGTTGACGCATGACAGATGTTTGGAATAAAATGGCTCCAAAAATAAATATGAAAAATACAAAAAAGTAATATGTTTAAAGTAATTCACTGCTTGAAATCTATGCATTTTTACTACGGTCAGCTAAACTAAAGAACAATGCAACGTGCTTTCATAAGAATGGTCATGAAGTGTTTTGCTTTTTTTGTACTTTACATATAGTTATAGATTGTGCACCTCAATTCTGTACTTGCAAAGAACAGGCCGAATGTATGAAGGTACAGGGATAACCCCTCCATCTGGCTCATCTAAATCAGGGAGAGTGTGTTCTCCTGACTTTGAGATCTACAGCATCATGGGTAAGACAAACAGCAGACACAATATAAGTTTCAGCATTAGTTGAAAATACATAACTCATTATTAATATTAGTAGTAGTTGTAGTAGTAATAATAGTCATAAATAACTGATTCAACCTGAAATCTGTAAATGCATATAACTGTCATGTGTTGCGGTTTTAAGACTGGACCTGAATGAGTTCAAAGGCTCCCAGTATGTCTCCTCCTGACAGGCCGCCACAGAACAATGGACTGTACTGCAGCTGAGGAGGGACGTATCGCTCCTCTGAGAGTTTGACTACAGGAACAGCCACTGTCGACCCCAGGTATTCTATACCCTGGAGAGAGCAAACCATTGTGCCTCAGGTCACAGCATTTAAGACAGATTGAGAAATAATGCTGCATAACAAGCTTAATTCAATTACAGAACCATTAGAGAAGTACTATATTTGTGGTCCGTTTACTTTGGTGAATGTGCTTTCCTTACCACTGCATCATCATCATACACTTCAATCACAACTAGCGGTGGCTCCTGGACTATTTCGTGAAGACCTCCATACAAAGACACGTTATTTATCAGGATCAGCTGATTCCACGTGGGAGTCAATGTTTGCTTGATGATCTGAAAAATTGCAATTTAAACAAATATGAATAACTTTCTCACATTATAAGGTTATTTGCATTGTGGCAATTTTATCTTTTGTGACAAATGATCCAGAATAAAAAGGAGTATTCGTAAAATAGGAGCTCTCACGTTTCTATACATTTTCTAAAATGTATATATACTATATATATATGTATATATTATACACACACACGCCCACAGTACCGGTCAAAAGTTTGAAAACATTACTATTTTTAATGCAAGTCTCTTAAAATAAAGCATCTTATGCTCATCAAGCTTGCATTTATTTGATCAAAAATACAGATTTTTTTTAAAAATAATATTTCATATAATTATAATAATATTCATTTAAAATAATGGTTTTCTATTTGAATATACTTTAAAAAACAATGTGTCACATGATCCTTCGGAAATCATTTTATCTATATTATAGTGGTGCAGTCAACAGCATCATTATAAATTTTGTGTCTGGAATGTCATCACATAAACTCATGCTTACACCAGTGCTTTGGCTATTGGACAGAAAAGACACCCAGGCAAAGGGGTCTGAGAGGCCAGTGTTGTCTGCTGCGATGAGACCACGAGCCTGGTACATATGAGCCCTCAGCTGGAACATGTGCTTCTCTGTATACCAACAACAAACAGGGCCAAACAGCAAGACAACATGTCAATCAGTGTCTTACAGAGAAAAATAACTCTTTCTAGCAACATTAGAGGGCTGAGCAATCTTGCCTGTGTACAGTAAATGCTCAGGAGGATGGCCAGTCCTCTCCTCAGATGAGATGCCTCCCAGCTCAAAGCCTGATGGGAGATTGTTCAACATGTGGGATGAATCTCTGCAAGTTCCCAGCCATAAGTACACATCAAGTTTAGCTTGGACGGTCCACCCCGGTCCACGCTTCCCTGGAGGCTGAACGACACATTTTGTATGAATATGTAATGAATGTTTCATTTTAAAAGTTAGAAGTTAAAGCCAGAGCTTAGCATTTGATATATCAGAGTTCAGACCTTGAGGAACAGGGTCTTGATCTTCCCACAGTTTCGGCCTCTCTGATCTGGGCTTTCAGAGAAGAGCAGGTGACGAGCAGGGATTCTGGCATACGCCAGACGCTTGTTATTACTGACCAGACACACAAACACATCTGGTAAAGTGTGTTGAGGCTGAGACAGGCGTGAGATGAAGAGGAATATTAGTAATGATATAGACTTACATTAGGTAACACTTTATTTTAAGGTGACGAAGTAACAGGTTTCTACATGTACTTACAATAGTAATAACAGTAAATTATGGATAATTACAAGTAATTAACTCTAAACCAAACCCTAACTGTAAATCTACAGTAAGTACATGAAGTTAATTAATATTACTCAGTTAATTATACTTTCTTAAATAAGTACTATCTATGTCACCTTAAAATTAAGTGTAACCTTAAATTATACATATGAGAGTTCAATGATTTGTATGACAATATGAGAGTTCAATGATTTGTATATAACAAAGACAAAATAACAACCTCTTCCACCAGAAATCTCAGTTTCTTTTTAATTTTCTGGGCTTCCAGCAGCATCTCTTTTACAGTCAAAGATCTCCTCTTGGGCTCAAGGAGTCCTCCTGCTACTTCAGTCATACTCTCCTGAAGAGGAGCAAATAAAACCAAAGATTAGTCAAATATACATACACTACCAGCCATACATTTATATACACTTGACAGAATTTATGCTCTAGTGATCTTAAAAATCTTTTTAATTTTAATCTACCTAAATGCTTGACATTGGTTTTGTAGACAAATTTAAATTTCACTTACAAATACATTTTTTTATTACATTTTGGTGTTGAAATAAATGCGTTATGAGGACTAAATAAGGACTAGATAGAGGAAAAGCACAATAATTCAAAGTCATAAAGGACTAATAAAAGACAGAGAGCTCTTCTGAAGATTTTACAAATAGAGTTTATGAGAGCATGCATAAAAGACACCCACCAGCTCCTGTTTGCACAGGGTGAGCCTCTTTTTATCCAGTACGGTCAAGTTGCTTCCCTTCACCTTCTTTTCAGCAAATGCAATAAACTCCCTGTAATAAACATACCGTTACATCCAGCATAAACATAATTGGGATACAGTTGTAGAATTTTATTAATGAGCGGACATTAGGAAGGAAGAAACGAAGCATTAAGGGATAGTTCACCCAAAAATTAATCTACTTAACCTAATGTTTTTCCAAAACTGAATGACTTTTTCTTCAGTGGACCACAAAAAAAAAAAAAATGTTTTTGTCCATTCAATGAAAGTCAATGTGGTTTAATGTTGTTTTGGACCCCATTGACTTTCACTAACATTGTATGGACCAAAAAAGAAAAGAATTGGACCACATAACAAAAAGTTATAAAGGTTCGGAACGACACGAGATGATAATGGTAAATGTAAATGATAATGACAGAATTAACATTTTTGGGTGAACTATCATTTTCTTGAACTATCAAGTCTCATAAACAATATTGTTTTTGTTATCTTGTAAAAAGCACTCTGTTGAACTATGAAATCATTGTAACTTTCTGAACGCAGAACTTCCTAAATTGATACAACAGTGACACCTATTGGGTGTTCGAAAACTTAGTTCACCCTGTCATGTCTTAAGGTCCAAAACTGGAACACTTGAATAGGCCTATTTTAACGGGACCTCAGGGGAAAATACTTATAATAATAGCCTACTAAATTTAAACCCTTTGAACCCTACTAATTGTAAAGAGTGGAATATGGGTTCTGCTTTTGTTCAATCTTTAGACCTACCTGGCATCTCTTCTAAATTCCCGAAGAACATGGTGCATGAGAGTCCACGCCTCTGGAGACAACATTTTATCCAATTCTGCCACCTTAGAGATGCCCTCCTCCTGACAAACATTAAAGGGATAGGTAACCCAAAAAACAAATATGAATAACCTTTAAGTCGTCGTTAAGTCGTTCTAAACCTGTATTAGTTTCTTTTTTCTGTTGAACACGAAAGAAGATATTTTGAAGAATGTTGTTAATCAAACAGTTGATGGTAGCCAATGACTTCCATAGTAGGGGGGGGGGGCTACCGTCGACGCAACTGTCTGGTTAACAACATCCTTTAAAATATCTTCTTTCGTGTCCAACAGAAGAAAGAAATTCATACAGGTTTGGAACAATATGAGGGTGAGTAAATTCGCTGAACTATCCCTTTAATTGAAAATAACCACATGAACTACAAACTAATAACACGGCAATGTAATAAGGCTCACATACAAACATCAAGGCAATAGTGTCCAGCATGTTGGCATGATGGAGTCGGTAAGCTCGATCCTCCCAGCTGCTATAAACATACACACAGGGCTTTTGCGCTGTGATGGGCAAGTGCATGTAGTGCCTGCACAAAACAACATTATGGGTCCAGTTTCGCTCATGAATAAAGTATTTCCCATTATTTAATGAAGGTATAAACTTGTTAGTGTTGTTCGATCTGAGCACCTCTGAGCATCTCCGAAAAGAGGTCTCTCTGGTGTTGTAGTGGATTTGCACGTCATTGTTGCTGTGGTGTCCAGAAGAGGAGTGGTAACTGACACATCTTCAAGCCTTTTCTTTGAAGGATGAGGTGCAGCGCCGTCAATGAAGTTCCCAAAGTTACCTGAATAAACAAGTACACATTTAAAGGGGTCATATTATACCATCATATTGTTGCTAGTTCTTCAGGTGTTATGTAATAATGACATCTATCATTCATTCTTAAAATATTAAATGTTTTGGTTGCACTTTATTTTACAGTATGTATACTTGCATGTACTTATCTAGGAAAATACTGGTAATTTAAGGTAACTACACAGGTTAAGGTTAGGTTTAAGTGTAGGTTCAGGGCTAGTACCTAGTTATTCATACCCCCACTCCTAAAATCATATAACAATATCATCATTTTGACAATCTATTCAAATGACAGTTAGTATATTCAGTGTTGGGTGTAATGTATTACCAAGTAATTAATTGCTGTAATTTAATTACTTTTCCCTTGAAAATGAAAGTAAGGGATTACTCTTAACTTTTCTGCATTTTTTTGAGTTCCTTCTAAAGTAATGGCATTCAATATTGTATAGACTATTCTTTATAAAGCAATTTATATATGTCTGTTAAAATGTGTTTTTAATGTAACCTTCTCCCTTTAAAAAGTGTGGTCAGTTCAAGAAATTGTTTTTGCATTTTAATATACTTTTTTAAAATAATTAAAACAGTTTCATGTCTATCATTGTATTGTTCAAGTGGTCGAGGTTGATATGTGATTTAGAAAGTAATTAGTAATAAGCAATGCAATACTTTTTAGAGAGAGTAATTAGGACAGTAATATAATTTCACAGTTGAGGTTGTAATTCCTTTTTTAGAGTAACTTACCAAACACGGAGTACATTCATTTTTTTATTTTTAAGTAATTTATAAACAAGTACCCCACATATTGTGTGCAACTATGTTACGACATGACTTACAAATGACACTTAAAAAGAGATGTATCCAACAAGCTCAACTGTTTAACCCTGTTACCAAAGTTATTTAATGAAAAACTGAATGAACGAAAAAGATTCTGAAGATTAAGCAAACTACCATGACCAGAAAAAAATTAAACAGTTAAAGAGTTTCAGACCCTATTTTGAACCGATTTGTGGAAGGTGGCATTTATGTTGTTGAATGTATAAATCCTGTCATGTTTACCAATGGTGAACTCAAGGGTGATAGGTCTATCGCCGATTCTTCTGTCAATCATGGAAGCCTCGAACACACAGCCAAAGAGCAGGAAGGTTTCCATGTCTACATCATTTATCTAAATGCAAGTTAAACAATGACTTGGGCAGCTTCAATATGGAAATGGAAATGTATGTACAAAGGATGGAAAAAAACTGACAGATTAAAGAATGGAGTAAAAAGGAGAGTGACCGCTGCAAACACCTTCTGTATGGGCTCCACTGGCATCACCTCAGGTCCTATAGTTTTGGACTTCTCCTCATCACCTCCAGGTCCTGTCCCAGTTTTGGGATCTTTCGCCACTGCTTTCCCTCCCTTGGTATCTTTCAGACTGATCCTTGAAAGCATGGATTTAGATTCAGCACCTCCAGACAGGATCTCCACACCGAGTTCTATGTAAACCCTGCCTCTGTAGGACACCCCCTCTCCAACACCCTCGTTCAGCTCCTGGCTGTCGTCCACCAGTGTGGAATTACGAAGTGAGCCGTAAAGGTTGATCCATGCCGGTCCGAATGTGGGCAGGAAACCTTGAGAAGAGCAATGAATGATGAAAGAATATGGTAACTACCATCATTTGGGTTTGATATTTTGTATATTGTTTTTCTAATACAATAATATTCAGACATTTTTAAATATGACCAAGGTGTCCAAACATTTCAATTCAAAATCAATCAAAACTACTACTTTTTTGACAATGTAATGAAACGGCGAACCATTGTCTCCATCATTGTCGTTTGAGATGGTGTGCAGATCGATGTAATGAGTCCCAATAGCCACATCGTTCATGCTTCCCTCATCCAGAACCCGGATTTTCAGTCTTTGACACAGTGGAGGAAACATCTCCTTAAACACCACTTGCTCGTTCCATACTGGTTCTGCTGTGCTCTTCTGAGTAGACGTCCTGCCCTTTCAATCATGAAAGAAAAAGAGTTTCAGAAAGACATTTTGGAAGTCACAGCTCTTGCTATAGACTTTATGCGCGGAAATCTTTATTCTATCTTTAATTAGCCTGTGAAGTGGATTTACTTATCCTAGAGTTAACGAAAGTTATCATGAGAATTGTAATGTTAGAAGCGGATGTCATAACAAATGTCAGAAGACCGAGAATATTTTAAAACGAGCAGTTAATTCATTAATCCATAAGTTTACCTTCATGCTGTGGAAATACAAACCGGAAGACAGAACACAACAAGGATGTTTTGACCTGCTTGTTGTATGGAAAGAAATACAGAACGATTCCTCATTTGGTGTTGTAACTAACGACATGAGGGCAGTGTAATTTTTGTTAACTATAACCATTTAAAATGGTTTTCAATAATAATAAAATAAAGCTGAAATAAGACAAAAATCCTATAAATAATAATGAAAAAAACAAAACAAACAACCGAGAGTTAGAAATTTTGTCTTGGCAACTAACTAAAATAAATGTTTAAATTAAAGGACTAAAATTTAAAAAAAAATTAAGCTACATAGAAATATTTAAAAATGAATAAAACTAATAAACTAATAAAAATGACAACAACACATAAAATGGCTAAAATCATAAAAACTAAAGTTATAAAATGTTTGGTAAGTGTGTGTGTGTTTTGTAGTAAGCACTGGATTGTGAGCTTACAACTTGACCGAAGAATGACACCTCTACGTAAGGATCTATGAGGGCTGTCGTGTCTCCAACAAAGGCTTTGGTCACATTGGCCATAATACTGGAGTTTATTCTGGGAAGACCTTCTGCTCGGTACACTATCACGTAAAACCGAGCCCATGGCCGTTCAGGGCTCAAGCCTTCAGGAATCAGGAGGTGTCTGGGAGAGGACAAACGTTTTCAACATCATGAGATACATTCAACATCCAGTCTTTATTATACCATCAAAAAAACTGAGATCTTACTTGTCTATCTGTTCCTCTGCATCACTGAACTTCTGGGACGGTAGTGAAACATCTCCCTTTCCTGACACGCTGATATCACACTTCAAGTGTCCTTTCACCCCTGTGCGGATGTCAGCGGGGTCTGTGAGCATGGCCCACTTATTGATGAACTGATGGCCTGGCACAGCAAGGGCAAGATTTATTGTTTTACAAGCAGAATAACCAATATTCCAAATCTGAGACCAGATTCACAAACTACTTCATTATCTCTAGTTAAAGAAAAGGTGCGACAAACTGCAAACCAGGCATTTACCAGGTTGGGAGTAAACCGTCCCGACATCAATCTTGAATATTCCCACACAGTAACTCTTCATGATCTTTGAGTGCATAACCTTTGGGAGAAGTACACTAATGTGAGCTCTGCCAGGTCGTGTCAAGAAATCATTTTGTTTACATTATGTACTTACTGATAGTTTGATGACTTTGTCAAAAAAGATGTCTTGATTGCAAAAGAAGTCAAACACAAAATACTGTTGGGCATGAGATGAACATAGTTGTTAAATTCTTGCCATTAATACCATTATTTCAGAGTGTCCAGCAGTTGAAGACCGTATGATCACCTCATTGTAAAAGGGAGCATTGGTTCCTTCTTTCACAGATGATTGCTTTTTCTCATCTCCAATTTCAATCACAACACTAGGATCTATATTATCCCCGACCAGCTGCCTAGCCTCTGTTATATTGATGGAGATCTTAGGAAGAACACAACAGATTTTTGCCAATCTTTCAATAAAGTAACAGTTTTAGCATCTCAAAACAAATCAAGTGAGGTTGTGTTCAAATGGCAACTTATACTCAAGTTATATTGAATTATACCTGGAAATGTTGTGGTTTGCTTTCAGCTTCCAAGATCCTGACCACAGGTTTACACCTTTTACGTACAAAAAAAAAGTGAAATGATGAAGATGTGGTACAGAAACTACAAGAAAGAACACATTACGCTGAGGAAAACAAGTATTGCCTCTTAGTATTAGCAATCTGTCTGAAGGAAGCGTGTGTCGAGGTGGACGCTTCAGGGAGTTCAGGCTGTGGTACGTCTATCACCTCTGGATCGCCAGGATTAGTTTCAGACTCTGCCTCTAAAATATAAAGATTAAACCAGCTCAGTCAGAATTGGTTTACAAGCATTTTAAACCTTCTGTAGCGCTCATGATCAGCTGTCATATGTCTGAATTAATGGATTTAAATTCTGTGTCAACAAAACCATGCAGTTAATCCTCACGAAATGTTCTACATCTTTACCCGTGTAACGTCGTGTTTGCTTTCATGGCCTTACCTAGAGCACTTTTGTTTGCAATTACAACACCCTTGTGTCCTTTCCTGTGTTTCTTCTTCCCTTTTATTCCAAACTTTTTGCTGCAAAAACACATGGGAATATCAGATCGTTATAAATAAAGCCTCTCAGTCTCCACACACTGTATATCCCTTGACCATATTTTGCCTCTCTTTCACACATTTTCCTTATAATAATGAGCCCAAGAAGTTAAGAAGTGGGACTAGGAATAGAAAGGTTGGAAAGGTTTCGGTTGAAACTGGAACGGTCACCATTGGGCCTACTTCTGAATTTGTAAGTATTTTATATGTTGTTTTGGATAGAAGCATCTGCTGAATTATTAGACATCAAGGTTTTTTTTCATATGCAGCAATATTACTGCTTTAACTGCTCTCTCACTGTTGGATAAGAATAAAACCTCAACCGAAATGAGCTGAATAATGGCACTATTGTCTTCTGCTTTATATAGCTGAATCATTTTTTGGTCATACTTTAGTCTAGGGTCCAGTTCTCACTATTAGCTAACTATTAACTCAAAACTCATAATTACTGCTTAATAGTTAGTAAGGTAGCTGTTAAGTTTAGGTATTGGGTAGGATTAAAGGATGTAGAATGTAGTCATCCAGAATAAGGCATTAATATGTGCTTTATAAGTATTAATAAACACCCAATATCCTAGAAATATCCATACTACCATAACTAGTTAATAGTGAGAATTGGACCCTAAAGTGTTACCCATTTCCCCCCCAAAACTGATTAATTTTGCAACATTGACACTATTATTGAACTAATCTGAATCAACATTGAACAGACTCAAGCTGAATAACGGCACTATTATCTTCAGTAGAGCTGCATTTTTCATAATGAATGAACTTTACGGTTATTGAACTTAACAGAATCATCACTGAACCAAATTAAAATTATCTTGCTGTACAGCTGATTTACAGCAGAATTTGAACTTGTCTCATATTTGATGAAGTTTACATTAATTCTATCACTTTCCTGTTTATTATTGTGAAGCTGCTTTGAAAATTACATTTTTATTATTGCGAACCAATAAACAAGTAAAACACCTTTTTGAAGAAAAGTGCTCCCAGGAGAGCTTACCCATGAGGCGCAGTGCTGTCTTTGTCTCGGTCCATTCTTTCAGGAGGAATTCATTCATTCAAGGGAAAAAATCCAGTTCAGAAACTGTGACTGAAACCCACTCCATCCAGCGAGACAGTGAGTGCATTTCCTCCTCCTCCCTCTGTTTGACTTTCTGTTGCTGAACTATTGCATTACAAACAAGGGTGGAAGACTGTGGCATGTGTGTTTTTAGGAAACTCAATAGAGGCCATATACAGCATTTTAAATTTCAGAATAAAATGATTGTCAATACACCAAACACTTCGCAAATAAAGATATAAATGTTGTTTTGCAGTGTTTTACATTTTAACTCTATAGCATTAGAGCTAAAAAAAAAAAAGTGCGCACACAAACATTCTCCCTTATCAGAATGAAAATATCTCTGAAGCCATAAAACAACATTTGGCACATGGCAGTCGAGCTTCTCCTTCTGTACTTTGGTGCTGCCACTTTACAGTAAGCTTCTATACATCAGTTAATCCATATCATGAGCTAATTGAAATCAGATAATTTTACAGGATTTATCAATCGTTGGTTAGTGTTAAATATATTAACATAAAATTGTGCATTGTTAGTACTTGAAAAGGATAGTTCATCCAAAAATAAAGATTGTCATCATTTACTTTAACCCTCAAGTTGTATGAGTTTCTTTCTTCTGCTGAAGACAAAAGAAGATATTTTGAAGAATGTCTGTAACCAAACAGTTGATGGGCCCCATTGACTTCCATTATATATACTGTAGTGTGTGTGTATATATCTATGTAAATGTATGTATATACATATATATATATATTTTTTTATCCATATGTTTTCCACACTATACAACTCTGTGTTCAGCATAAGAAAGAAACTCATACAGGTTTGGAACAACTTGGGGGTGAAAAAATGAAAAATGAAATCCTAATGTTATACATGTTTTACCACAAGTAGAAATGAATAAATATTAAGTTAGCCTACATTGTTACTGTCAGTTTCATGCTAAATATTTATTTAGTTTAATTTTGTTTGAACAGCATTCACTTAAAGTGCCAATGTCTTAAGACATTAGTCATTGAAGTAGTTCAAATAATTCAAGTGGTTAAAAATATTAGTAGCAATTAAGATATTTAATCACAAAGGTGTCATTTATATACTGAAATAAATGTAAGTGTTCAACCTGGTCTGAAACACAATTGATGCAAATAGGGTTGAAGTTCTAAGCAAGCCATAAGTACTTGACACTGTTTGCTGACAGTGAAAAGCAGGATGTACAAGGATCCACCTCTGGTAAATATATGCACCAACAACTCAAACATTTGCCATCACAAGGCTGGATTATTTATTTTCTTATATCAAAATATTATGAAAATAAAATACAACAAATGGCATTTTAAAAATATATAAATTATACAGATTATATTTATATATTATAAGCCTTTGATGCAGTTCAGAACCACAGTTATAGTCTAAAGAATATAATTTTGAAATAGTTATATTCTGTAAGGCGGTTTAATCAGTTTGACTTGTTTCCATGCTGTAGCGCAGTAGTTTTCTAAAAGCGTGAAGCCTGAACTTGCCTCAAGTTAAATGTGGTCTTATTGATTAGTGGGTCAAACTTTATAGTAAGTGTCCTTAACTACTATGTACTAAGATTTAAATTAATCATTTGATACAATGCCCTTATTGTGTACATGCATGTTTGTACACTGTTCTTGTATTTTATTACATGTTATTACATCTATAATTATACTGTTGCCCCTTCCCTTACACCTTAACACACCCTTCCTGATCATACCACCAACAACCTAACCTGTATCCCACCTCAATAGCTGCAAAATGTATAATATTATCACATTAAACTTTAAATATTATCACAAAAATGTCTATATCCAAAGGAGGAAAATATCCTACTTTACCTATCTTGGTACATCTGGAATCATAGATTCAATGTAGTCAAAGCCATTTTGAGAAAATCTTTTACCAGGACAACTTTGCCTTTTTGACATATAGTAATAGTATCACAGTATAATCACTGCATTAAACATGCAATTATGAAATATAACACTGTAAATCCACTATAAGTAAGTCTGCACGAACACCACAGTGAATTTTGGATTTAATGTGACTAAATGACATAATCTGTTTATTTACAAAGTGAGGATCAGGGGTCAAGAAGTTTTATAACAAAAATGTTATAAAAAGAGAGATTTTTTGCCAGAAAGTTGTCATTATTACATGGCATGCTTGATGTCTGTAGTTTTATCTGACATAGAACTAGCACAGTTCAGATGATTATGTGATTATAATTCTTTAATAAATTACACAAATATAAAAGTAAAATTGTAAAATAAGATTAGACATGTTTATAGTGAAACATCAAAACCCAAAGTGCTCGCAACATCAAAAATATTTACACTTTCTGTCTTCGAGCATTCATCTGCAAGGCTCATGGTTTCTTTTGCGACAAAATTCTGGAAAACAAAATTATGAAGGAACAAGCATTATTGCTTTATTCTTCATTAACAAATGTTCTTGCACTCAAAGTAACACATGATCTACGCTAATGTCCATGTATGTTTTGGTCACAGTAATAGGAATATTCTTTCTCTTTAAAATATTTGCAGATTTAAAAAAGATTTAAAATATCTTTATATGAAAGATGTCTCCAAAGAGCTAAATAGTCCATGCACTCCAGAGCAAACATTATAAATAACACAACAGATACACTATTAGAAAAAAATGACACACAAGCCCACTACGGTACCCTTTGAAAAGGTACTACACAAATAAAGATTCTTTATAGGCCTCTATGGTTTCATAAATAAATTTCCTTATAAATACAAATAAGTTTCTTTATAGTGGAAAACGTTTTTTCAGATTATTTAAAAATGTTCATTACACTACACTTTGGAGCACAGACTTCAGTCTCATTTTAAAGAAGACCCTTGGCAGATTACTGTTGAAGTGAAAAAAGTCGATTGCAGATGAAAATGATTTATTGTTTTATTTTATGTGAAACATGTATTTTTTCTATGTTGAACTCAAAAACTGCTAGAAAATCTAAAATCGAAACAAGTTGTGTTCCAAATTTGAGGTTTATTCAAATTACACGCTCAACAAAACAAATTACTCTCAAATATTACAAGCTCGCACACACACACACACAATTTATCCAATTGGCTAAATAATACGCAGAAAAAAAAAAAGAGTATTTGCTTTATAAGCCAAATCTGAGAAAATGGAACCATCTGGTAAAAAAACAAAACAAAAAAAAGTAAACATTTTCATTTTGAAGCCTTGCCAACAGAATGAAAGCTTATTAATAAAGACTGCATCATTTTATACTTAAATGACCCTGGGATTAAAAATGGCCATTTCAATGGGGGACATTTTTGTCCTTAGAGTAACTATTTTGTGTACCTGAATAGATTTATGAAAGGAAATGAGGGTGAAATTATAAAATTCCAATAAAAATAATGTTCAAAATGTATGCAGTTGGCGTTCACACAGGCAAAATTATATATATATATATATATATATATATATATATATATATATATATATATATATATATATAAAATGTCTTTAAGGATGCACATAAGACCAGTTGGACTGAAAGGTTTTTTGGGGAACCAAAAAATAGTTCTTGTATGGTATCACTGAGAAAACCCCCTTCTGGAAACTTTATTTTTAAGAGTGTAATAGTGTTACCTCAAGTATACATTTTAGATCCTAAATGGTATATATATGTTCCTTTAAGTTACTAAAATGCACCCTTTACTTATTTAAGGTAGAAATGTGTACCTTTAGACCCAGGGACAGCTTTTGTACCATTTATCTGAGAGATAAAGAAAGAGAAATACAGCAAAAAGGGAAAAAAGGACAGTCTGCCTACCTGGTAAGAGAGGATAGGAAGTGAGGATGATGGTGGAGAGGAAGCTCTCCACTGGTGTTAACAGAAAAGTGCTTCAACGCCTGCAGGAGTCAAAACCAGTGCCTGAAGCAAATCAGAGAGGGAGACGATTCCCTTCACCACATCCTCTGTGTCCACCAGCACTAGACGGTGAACCTGAAAGAGCATATGTACCTTAGTCAGTGTACAGTAGACGCCATGTTTCACTTGATGTGATTAAAAATAAGCCATCAGTTCTTGAATACTCTAGTATAGACCTTATGTAGCCCCGCCCATTTCCAGCGCTGTGCTCGTTGTGTTCCGTCTTCCGGTTTGTATTTCCATAGTTAAGATCTCACGGATTTATGAATGAACCACTCGTTTTAAAATCTTCCTAGTCTACTGACATTTGTTATGACATCCGCTTCAAACATTACAATTCTCATGATAACTTTCGTTAACTCTACAATAAGTAAATCCACTTCACCGGATAATTACTCTTCAACAGCGATGCCATAGAAATATACAGAGTTACCGCAAAAACGGAAGTTCAAAGACAAAATTTTAAAGATGGCTGAGCTCAATGTCATGTAACATGGCAACTATTTGTTCTGATACCTCTGCCTCAGCGATGCGATCAATGATGGTTTCGAGGGTCTCGTGAGGGTAACACTTCAGCACCCCCTCAATGCAGCACCAGCGGCCCTGAATGGCTTCCTGCATCGTCATGTTCAGGTTGTTGTAGCTTTGCTGTGCAGCCAAATTCTGTTGAAGAATCAGGAAAACATGTAAATGCTGATAAAACTGACAATACCAACTTAAAGCTTTGTTTAGAACATCTGAAAGCCATTTGCTGTAACATTAATTAAATAAGAGCAGAGGTGTGGATGTGAGTCTACGTACAATGACATCAAATCTGGAGTAAAGAGCCACCACTTTCCCTAAAGAAAATGCAAAAAATATCTGAAAAAGATACATGAAATATACTTTTGGTTGAAGAAAAACAAACAGCCGTACTCCGTACCTTGCTCGTTGATGACGGGCAGGGCTGAGACCCGTCGCTCTACAAATATTGATAAAGCGTCATAAACTGTTTCTGTCTCCCTGATAGTCGCGATGCTCTTGAATGTTCCGATTTCCACTTCCTCAATCCGCTTCTGTAGAAATCGTGGCTTGGGGATCATAGTGCCCTGAGATTCATAAAGCAAATATTCAACATTCAATACAGAGCTATGGTGACAGTCAACATAATGTAACATTAAAAGTGCCAACACACTTTCATGGCATATTCATAACTATTTTTCGTTTTGGCGAATTGGTGGCTAATTCGTATGAATTGTTTCAGTCTCATTTGTACGTTTTTGTAAGATCTGCTTGCCTCACTTTTAAAAAAAAAATGAAAAGATACAAATTCTGACTTTTCTTCCTCACATTTGCGAATTTACATCTTGAGACTTTTTTTCCTAGAATTGCGATATATAGTTTATAAACTTGCAATTGTGAGATATAAAGTCAGAATTGCAGGATAAACTCGCAATTGCAAAGAATATGTAATAATTGCAAGTTTTAGTTTATAACTCACATCTAGCAATTTCGAGTTAGAAAGGTAATTCTGAGGAAAAACAGAGAACAATTCTGACTTTATAACTCGCATTGCTAATTTATGCGAGATTTTAACTAAAACTTGCAATTGCGAGTTTTAAAGTCAGAAATGCAGGATATAAACTCCCAATTGCAAAGAATATAGTCAGAATTGAGAGATAATGAGTCTCTCACAATACTGACTTTTACCTTTCTCGCCATTTATAACTTTATAACTCCCAATTCAGATTTTTTTCACAAATTCTGACTTTTTTCTCACAATTCCGAGTTTATATCTCGCAATTCTGAATTCTTTTCTCCGAATTGTGAGATATAAACTCGCAATTGCGAGTTATAAAGTTAATTCTGAGGAAAAAAGAAAACAATTCTGACTTTATAACACGCAATTGCTAGAGTTTATACGAGATGTAGACTCGCAATTGTGAGAAAAAAAATGTCAGAATTGTGAGATAAAAAGTTGCAATTACATTTTTTATTCAGTGGCGGAAACAATCTTCTTACTGATGGTTAGGTTTAGAGGTGGGGTTAGGGGTGGACTGTCACGTTCCCCCCCCCCCCCTAAAGAGTGCATATTTCCGTATGAATAACATTATTACAAGGTGGCAATTTCGAATGAATTTGTACAGTTAGATTGCTACATGAGATTGGGTTGAAAAGTGGATTGGGTTATGTTTTGTTAGCAAATATTTACTTTTATTTATTTACCTAGTGGAAAGGATGCAGCATTACACAAATTGCAGTCAGCCATGATTAACTTGTTCAATAACAGTGCTGGTTATTGAGGTCACATAATATGTCAACTCTCATGAGGTGACCAGCTCCATTTAAAATAAAAGTGTGGTCACATCAGCAAAATTTGCTGGCAAAAAAAGTGTAGTGATGCATGAAGCACCACTCGTACAGAAGTAATTTTTTTCAAATCAATCAAGCTTTCTGTTGGTCAACGTGGTAAATTTGCATGAAAAACTCGAACATGTCGAGAAATCTTCATGGGGAAAGCTTTTGCCCTTTAGTGAAATTGGATTAGTATTAAAATGAATGGATTTCTCCCATGATAATTCGCCAAACAATGGTAAATTTAGACAGCTTTTATTGAGCTTCTCATCTGACTGAAGTCACCATCTCACTTGTGTGGAAATCATTTTAAATAGTATTACTAGTATTTATTCATTTATAAATAAAACACCTTTTAATGAGGTAAAAATGACTGAGTGCACATTTAATGCAAGGTTATATAAAGAGAACAACATAAAAGCTCTTACAAAGATGTGTAAGAACTTGAGGATACGTTTATGGGTGAGTATGTGGAGGACGTTCCCTGATTCTGGATCTATGACGGGTAGCCGGTGAATCTTGTTCTTCAGTAAAGAATAAATGGCTTTGAAGAGGCTGGCAACAGAAAACAAAACTCTCTCTGTCACTAGAAAGATTACAGAAAAGAAAAAAAGCATGCAAAGTGCAGTAGAAGTCCTGGTTTACCTGGATTCAGGTGTGATGCTGATCAGGGAGTTGAGAGAATACTGTAGATAGATCTCTGGAAGAGGGAAAACAGAGCTTCTAATTTAAAACATTACAGTAATACATATACACATAGATATTTGTCCTTAAAACTATACACAATCACCTCTCCATGTTTCAATCTTGTGTTCCTCCAGCTCATAAATCTGAACCTAAAACAGAAAAAGAACATGATCTTATCTTTATCAATGTTGAAAACAGTTGTGCTAAGTTCAAAAGAACAGCATTTATTTGAAATAGAAAGCTTTTGTCACATTATAAAATGTCAACGCTCAAAAAGGTCAATGTGTGCTTGTTATACCTTATGTTTTTTTATGCAATAATGGTTGTTGAAATGTTTTTGGAGTGATGAGAACACATCGATACCATGAGAATAATTCAGTAACAATTTTCACAACTAGCTCCAGTTTCCCATATATTTATCTAAAGTCCCCATGGTAAAATAAAAAAAAATAAAGCTTTTAATACTGTTTATATGTCTATGTGGTGTTTTTAATATGCTTTAAGACAAACTATGTGCAAATTCATAAGTCAACACCATTGCGGCGTATTTTCTCCATAAAACTGCAGTGAGCCAAAGACAGTCTCAAAAACACGGTTTAAAATCGCTGGTGTTTCTGACATCACAAACTACCTTGTAACCAATCACGTCAATGTGTGATCGTCAACGAGTGGATCTCTGAGCTGGTGTGAGTGAGTGGAGGCGGGGCCAATTTGCATATTCATATAACCGCGTATACTAAATGAGGCAAGATTGTAGAGTTACATTCAAGCTAGTTTAAGAGATGAAGTCATTTTTTTCACGGAATATGTCATATAATAAATATGTAATTGTGGTGATCAAAGGTGAGTTTTAAGGGATACAATAATTGACTACAGGGGGACTTTAAATTTGGAAAAAAAGGTGTTAGATAGTGTCTTTGGTTACCAAGGGTGATTTGTAGTAACGATGGAGAATGTTGATAAAGTCTGTAATGGTGAGCATCCCTGCAAAGACAGAAATAGCACAACATAAACAGGAGCACTCAGGTTTAAATTCAAATGTTAATTCACACAAGCCGATCTGAAACTGACCAGACAATACAATACTGAACTTAAAGTTCTTAAACAAATTACAGCTTGAAATTAAAGTACCAAGAGGCTAACATTACCATAAACATACCAACTCTCACTATGCACTGAAACTGGAACACGTTCCTGCACCCGAGTTTCCTTTCAGTAGGAGGATATGCTTTCTCATTAGCATAGCTATTATTACTCCCAGAGAAGGTTCAGGGGATTAGAGCTCTACCCTGCCATTTCCCACCAGATACCATCGCCCAGAAGCCACACTAAACTTAGACGCTGGCACGGACGGAGAGGACGGGGTGCTGAGTATGATCAATCAAAGCTGTGTCAGCACACACACGTACAGTATGTATACATGATGAATCATCGCTTGAAAACTGCCATTTCAAGTTTTTTTTAATGTTTTTGAAAGAAGTCTCTTATGCACACCAAGGTTGCATTTATTTGATCAAAAATAAAAACTGTAAAATTGAGAAATTTTCTTACAATTTAAAATAGCTGTTTTGTAATTTAATATATTTGAAAGTGTAATTTATTCTTGTGATGGCAAAGCTGAATTTTCTTCAACATTGCTCTAGTCTTCAGTATCACATGATCCTTCAGAAATCATTCTAATATGCTGATTTGCTGCTCGAGAAACATTTCTTATTATTATCAATGTTGAAAGCAGTTATGCTGCTTAATATTTTTATATTGAAATGTGATACATTTTTTCAGGATTCTCTGATGAATAGAAAGTTCAAAAGAACAGCATTTATGTCTTCACGGTGCCTTTTGATAAATTGAATGCATGCTTGCTGAAGAAAAGTATTGATTGATTACTGCAGAGCAATTACTGAATGCAATCAAATATGTGTCACTGTCACTTGATGGTGGATGTGGTGAAGAAGCTGTCAGCGATCATAATATTGATTTTGAAGATGTTGAAAATGATAGTTTTGACAATATGTTTGAGATATTGTGAATAAGAGCCAGATGCTGACTGTACTAAGAAATGAGCACTGACGAGGACAGTGATGATGATGGTATAAAACATCTGCTCAAACTGAACCCTCTCAAGCTCCAAAAGGTAACAAAATATGCTTTATTTGATTTCTCTTTAATTGCTACAGTAATATCAGGAGAGTTTTATATTATCGCAACAGGTAGAGATCCATCCATGTTAGATATAGATCCGGGAATATGTAAAAATGATTGGAGAAACATTCGTGCATTTAAGGGTTAATGCTGCGATTTAGTCAAAAGCAGCTGATCATCTGTAGAAGGCGATTTGTGTGATTATTTCCTATTACATATATAGGACCCGAAATCAAATGGAGGGTAGAGCTTGGACATAGCGGTTTAATGGGATTTCTGAGTGTTTTAGCATATGTGAAACATGTTCGCTTTTCTTAACATGGGTTAGGTTGGGATGTTGCAGTGACATTATAAGATTTCAGTAATCTGATGCAGGCTCACAGCTGACCAACCACACTTTGACAGGCTCAGCAGAACCCTAACGTTTGCTTACCTACGAAACACTGCAGCTTGTTGTCCCATAAAGGTGCCGCTCTGACCCCGTTTGCAACCATTGCAAAGAATGCTTTCTTCACCTGTACACATCACTCGCATATTTCACTGTTTATGCTCTCTGAACATTTCAATCTGGAATATATATGAATATTTTGAATGTAAATCAATCTAAAACACTGTAGTGAGGGATGTGAATTCAGCACATAAGCACACCTGCAGTGTTGTGTCAAAGATGACCAGTTTGGAGCTTGTTGGAATGGCATCGTAGCAGCAGTGACTCATGAAGAACTTGGCGTACACGTCTGAGTCAGGGTCTTGGAGAGGCTCTTTAGAGGGAGACAGAGAGGGAGACCCCTGCTGCAGGTCGGTCAGTCTGCAGATGTGACAGTCCTGATACACTCATATATCCATATTTCCAATTAATCCATTTCAAAAACTAACATGCTTGTAGTTTCATTTAGAAATCAATCAGATTTATCAAGGCATAAAATCTCCCCAGTAAGAATTTTTTTCTCTTTACTGAAGATTCATGGACCAACACTATTTGTGGGAAAAGAAATTTGTTTTTGGTTAAAAATAACAAATATAAGACAGCTAGAGGTGCCTTTTACTTAACATTTGGGACCAAAGGTAGCTATAGTGATGTTGTGTAGATTTGTGGTAGCAGTGATGGACACTAGGTGCGTTCACGACATGTCGGAAATACCGTTATTACGAGATTTCGACATGTAAAAAGCGTTCACGCCCTTGTAGAACTTTCAGGGAGCTACGACTTGTACCACCTGATCGCTGCAGATTCATATTGGCATTGATAGTGTTGCCAGAGAAACGCATAATTCCAAACCCAAGGATGTGAACAACTCAGAGTAGAATTTCATGTGTTGTCATCTCGTAATTACAACATGGCGTGAAAGCAGCACCGTCTCAAATTTCTGTGGTTCTAAGAAGAAGCTGAAGTCGTCATAGTTGGGGACACTAAAACAACTATTATTTTTGCGCTCACTTTTGCTTCAAAAGCAAAACACATAATCCGCAATATTTGTTTGTATGACTTTCCAAAAGACAAAAAATACATTGAGAGATTAATAAATCACATTGGTCATAAAAAAAGCAATTTTTGCAAAGTGTTTGGATTTAGTCTTAAACCCCTTGAAGAGGACAAGTTGACTTCTTACTCAAACCTTTTTGGCTTACCATTACTGGAAAAAAGAAAATGATTTAATACTTAGACTAGCTAAGAAATTATTAATGTTCATAAACGCACAGGGTGTACAAAAGATACTGATAGATACCTGTCTTCTTCATGGTGAGCCCCTCATCCTCCACAAAGGGGAACTAAAACAGAGAAGATATGGACTTTCACTATAAGGAAATATGCTTAAAAAAGCAGTCAAGAGAAGTGAAGAGAACATAGGACACCTTATGTAACAAACTATTAAATCAAAAATATCAAAAGAAAATGTCAGCAGCAATAATGTTATTGATCTGTATATTAGCTGCGGCCTTGTGCCTACAGCCGAATCCCAGCCATAACGGATTGTGACTGTGATATTGCTTAACCGCTGCAAATCCTGCCACAGAACCCCACAGAGAAGGGTCTATTATCTCAACAGTATGACTAGAAAGATAAACCAGGTTGCATATAAAATTTTAATATGATATATTATATTTCTGACAATTAATTCAGTCTAAACTTCACTCAAATGTTAACTATAGTCTTTTGCTGCCTTGCAATCACTTGGTTTTTTTTTTCTTTCTTTCAGGAAAAGCAAATGTAGTTAATTATTATAAGAAATAATGATGTTTTCATGCAACATATTTCTACCTCACCCTTGAACTTGAGGCCTTGTCTCCATGCACTGTTCAGATCTCCAAAAATAACCTCAAACATAAACACAATGTGCAAAGCAACCAGAAAGACTAGTTATGCATATGTTATCTGTTGAATACACTCATTTTGAAACATCAACACTGAAACAAGCCTGGGAGGGGGGGGGTCAGTTTGTTGATTGAATTTAGTTTGTTAAACTTCAGCAAACATCAAGATAAACGTTGATATGATAATGTTTTCAAGTTTAAGCTGTCACAACAGTTCCTGGAATAAGATTCACCTCATCAGAAACGTTGCTCTCTGGGTCTTACCTCTGTCAGGGGGTCCATGTTCTGGGGTCCCACCGTGAGGCAAACGTTTTCAGTGCTTGAGCTGGCCTGACCGGAGCATACTTCAGCTGTACTCCCGTCCCTGAGTGCAGAGCACAATCTAAATCAGGAGAGAAAGCCGGCCCAGGCACGCAGAGGGCTGAACGTGAGACAGGGGGAGGAGAATCACAGTTGTTGCAACTGTGAGTGGCTGTGTATCCACAACACCCCTGCATTAAACCTGGTCCTGGACAGCATAAGCAGGACCTCAGTCAAAACATGTGTAAGATGACTTATATTCCCATGACATTTTGTAATGGGTAAGGTTAAGACATTTGTGACTTGCTAATTTATTAATGCATGTTTAATGGAAGATCAATCAGCTGAAAAGCATACTGTTGACATTAAGGACCACTGTTACAATGATCACAGTATGCGCCTTTGGACATTGTGTTCATCATTTTGCTCTCCGAGATTAGGCCACCAAGTGTTTCATTAGCAGTAATCAACACCATTTGTTAATGCCAGGGCTACTTCAACACTGCTGACTCGAGGACTTTTTCTTCTTGGTGTGAGGATCAAGGAATTGATCGTTCACTGTAATGCGCTGAAAGTAAAGAGTCTCTTAAAACATATATTAGAAGACAACAAAGCGACTCCTACCTTAAAAGTGTGTGTTGCCGCCATATCTGCTCATCATTTTGCTCTCCGAGATTACATTAGGCCACCGAGTGGGTTCCATTGTCACTGGATAGTACACAGAGTAATTATGAAGTCCAGTTTTCTTCATAACTCATTACAGTACAGTAAGTGTCTTTTTATTTATGGGCAATAATGTAGCAGAAAGTTGAGAAAATAATAATTAAAGGGATAGTTCACTTTGAAATTAATTTTTGGTATGTTTTAGCTTACCTCAAGGGCATCCAAGATGTAGGTGTCTTTGTTTCCGCAGTAGTTTAAATTTTTATATTTTTAGGTCAAACCGTTCTTGTCTGTCAGTCATATAATGCAGGTCTATGGTCACCACCTCAAAGAGCAAGCACAGAGAAGTCCAAATTAAACATGATTTAATGACTCGTCAATGTAAGTACACATTGATGGCCTAAGACACGAAACGAGCGGTTTGTGTGAGAAAACGAACAGTATTTATATCGTTTTTACCTCTTGTAACCACAGCCACGTCCAAGTGATCTGAGGGCGCGGCTGTGTTTACAAGAGGTAAAAACGATATAAATACTATAAGCTAAAACATACCAAAAATTAATTTCAATGCGAACTATCCCTTTAAAGGTAGACTCACTCCTGTAACTTCTGGCATTGGTTTGCCTCTGCTCCTCTGTGCGAATAAATGTGGTTCGCAGCACAGGTGTAAAAGTCTGTAAAAAGATTACATCCTCACAAACCTAATACTGTATCTTGATTTTGTTGTGCAATCACTGTCATGCAGGTTATCATATGACACGTAGTGCCATCCGAAGGCCAGTTTTTGATCCTTTTTCGTGCGATTTAGCGTTGTCGCGATTATAAATCGTTCTGTCCTAACCAAAGATTGTATCTACGATTGACTTCTCCGGGCTGATGTTCTCACTGTTTTAGCTCCTACGGTACTAACCGGGGACGTGTTATTGACATGGCTCATGCCTCTCTTATCTCCAGCTTTCCTCAGAGCTCCAAATTGTGCCCGAATATGCTTCTCTATCCGATGATGGACATGATCGCTGCCCATAGTGTTTAGGGATTTATTTTCTAAAAGATACTTTGACTGATCTGTGTATGCACCTTAGTATGCTACCAATTTTAGAGACAACTTCACCTTGCTGAATTAGACCCCAACTCGTCTGTTAGCCTAGCTCAGTGGTCTCAAACTCGCGGCCCGCGAGGTGATATTTTGTGGCCCCCTACTTGACATTACATTTTAATGTTAGTGCGGCCCGTCGTTGCGTGTGCCGCGTTTTAATTTTTAATTTTTTTTTATCCCTTATGGGCTACCATAGATAGTCTCGTGACAGCTTACGGTGGGGTTTGTTGTCAATAGTTGTCATAGACAACCGCGAAGTACAAACATCTGCGCCTGGAAAAAATGAGCGCGTCGCTTCAATTATGAAACGCGCTTGCCGCGCGCCTACATTTGAAATAACGAACTTGAGCGCGCAAAATATGTGAGCGCGATATGTGAACGGCCCCTTGTCGAGCTACCACCAATCAGGCCACGAGCTACTGATAGCTCGCGAGCGACGTGTTGGAGAGAGACCCTGCTCTAAAACAATGTGAGAATAATCACTTTGAGCTTGTAATATGTGTCCAACAGGTTGATAAGAAGGTTTGCTTTGATTTGTGCAGTCAGTAATTTGAGACACTATACATGTGTAGAAAGAATTCAATAAGACGGGCAGACATGACTGCAAATATTTGTATTTCAAAAGCAATAATTGTTTTTCTAAGTATAATAAAAGGAAATGTGCCTTCCAAAAAAAACATTCAATATCATTAATGTGTTGTATAAAGAAAATAAAAAGGACATAAGCAAATATAAATATCACAAATATGTGTTATAGACAAAAAAAGTTTGTAAAATGAAGTTCAACTGTCAGAACGACAGCTCATGAAGAACCAATCATGTACAGAAAGGTATGTTCAAATTCAGAGGAACAGTTCAGAAGAAACGTTAATAATAAATATTGAGAAGATTGGATCAGTTGTGCTACTTTTTTGGAATACTTGAATACTATTTTTTGTGTAATACTTGATGCGGCCCAGCCTGACCCCGACTCTACCTCCAGCGGCCCCCAGTTAAGTTGAGTTTGAGACCCCTGGCCTAGCTCAACCAGGTTTAGCCCCACTGCAAGTTCAAAAGTGTTGTGCATCAGCATCGACTGGGGCACCACTGACAAAGAGACTTTTGCTTCCCTCTCTTCAGAAATGGCAGAGATGAAAGACAGCCTTCAATCTTTACAAACCCCAGTATCAGCCATGCCTACACCAGTGGATCAGGGTGACTTTCAACTTCTGCGTACTATGGAATTGGATGTCCTTTTTATAGTGAAGAATTGGTGGAAACTGCCATGCAAGCCCCCCCCCCCCCCTCAAGATGTTTTCTCCAGCCTGTCTGCTGCTGGTGACTTGCGGGTCCATCCTCTCCGGATGACACACTATAGATCTATAGGTCTATGGGCCTTGAAAATCAGACTCGGCCAATTCAGACAGTGTTTTTCAGACAAGATTCTGATGCAAATGTGTTTACGATGCCACCATGTCAGAACTTCATGGCAGAATTCTCCAATGCACTTGCAGGTGCCATTGTGCCTAGAAGGTCGTCAAAGACAGCCCGTACTCTAGCTTCAATGGCCGAGGCTGATTCCATTGGAGTTCAGGTGCACTATCTGGACGTACTGACTCATTATTGTAGATGGCATTTGAGTCAGTAGCTTATGTAACTTGAGCAGAGATTACTATCTGCCAGCTGCTTCTTGCCTGTAATAACCCTAACGTCGAATGTGGACCCTTCTGTGCCTCAGTTCCTATAGACTGCTCTATTGACAATGAGTAATGTGACTCGTGAGCTTGGGACACTCAGAGATTGCATCACTACACTGCTTCTCAACTTCAGATGGCACAATAACAGAGGGACTGGAGAGTCATAGAGGGACTGAAGAGCAATACTGAAATTGAGGGCAGTGTACCTAGCACTACAACACTTCTTACAAGCATTGATAGGCCGTCATGTGCTTGTCCGGTCAGACAACACATAGACTCTGTCATTCATTTTAATCATCAGGGTGGCACCAGGTCTCTCGCATCTTTACAGCTAACTTGCAAGATCGTCAGATGGTACAGAGACCAACTGGCTTCAATAAGCGCGGTTAATTTCCCAGGAACGGACAATCAAATCACAGATGCTCTGACCAGGGATCTGCTACGTCCGGGGAAGTGGGGCTAAATGGCTAAGCAGACGTGGACCTGTTTGTGTCAGAACTGACCACTCATTGCCACGGGTGGTTTGTGAGGTCTGAGAAGTCCAGCCCACTGGGACAGGATGCATTAGCGCACGAGTGGCCATGTTGCCTGCTGTATGCGTTCCCTCCATTTTCACTTCTATGGGAGATTATACCGAATATTCCTGTTACAACACAAAGTACTTTTAGTGGCACCTCAATGGGCGGCCAAGCCATGGTTTTCTCTTCTTCGAAATCATTTGCAGGGCCAACCATGACAGCTTCCCATCAAAAAAAACCTCTAAGCCGAATGGGCAAGTTTGGCATCTAGATCCGGCTCGTCTTCAGCTTTGGGTCTGGCCACTGGGTCCAGATCACTGTTTTTGTGGTTGTGAATCAGCAGTAATCAACACCATTGGTAATGCCAAGGCTACTTCAACACACTTCATGCTGCTGACTCGAGGACTTTTTCTTCTTGGTGTGAGGATCAAGGAATTGATCGTTCACTGTAATGCGCTGAAAGTAAAGAGTCTCTTAAAACATATATTAGAAGACAACAAAGCGACTCCTACCTTAAAAGTGTGTGTTGCCGCCATATCTGCTCATCATGCTCCAGTTGATGGTCCTTCTTTGGGATCTCATAACCTTATTAATAGTTTTCTAACAAGGCATTTAAAGCCTGTTTGTTTTATGCCTTTTTCTGTGTGGGACTGCTCGTACTCAAATTCCTTTGTGCACCACCATTTGAACCATTGGGTGTCGTGGACAGTTATTCCATTCTGAGGCTGGACACTGGGCTACTGCGGATTATATCCCTGCGACTCGGCCTACGTCATGGCGGGACTTTGTTATCTTTTCATAACCTATCTGGCTGGCGCTGCGATAATACACTGGTGCTTAGCACCACCTCTGGCAGTCATCTGGAATTTACAGAACCACAGTTACATACTAGCATTGCGTTTGTTTGTTTTTACAAAAGGTGATTCCCCGGAGGTTTGTAGTCTTGCATGGTCCATCTTCACGCTACTCCCACACCTTACATGTTCCAAAGCTATATTTCTGTTTACGAATATGATGTGACACATACAGGCAAATGACGCATATCCTGTCCCGACTCCTCTAACCTATAAATCATTATTATAGGTTTAAGAGCAATTGGATAAAGTGAACGCATGGTTTGGAAAATGCATTCTTTTTGTACTCTCTTATTACAAGCATTTAGGTTTTTTATTAAATAGTTTTTCTAGCATCTCTAGTTTTTCTTTTTAACAAATGAATTTACAGTTACAGTTTTTCAGATCTAGAAATAACAC